CTGCTCGCATTTACTACTTCCTTCATCACTTCCTACGTCACGGACCTGTTTCCCTCTATTCCCATAGCATTTTATGATTGCCTATACTACTTCCTTCACCACTTCCTACGTCGCGGACCTGTTTTCCTCCCTTCCCATAGCATTTTAGGATTGCAGATACCCTAATCTTATCGTCATAAACAGTCCCCACACTCCGGACTGCTCGCATTTACTACTTCCTTCATCACTTCCTACGTCGCGGACCTGTTTCCCTCCCTTCCTATTGCACTTAAAGATTGCAGATACCCTAATCTTATCGTCATAAACAGTCCCCACACTCCAGACTGCTCGCATTTACTACTTCCTTCATCACTTCCTACGTCGCGGACCTGTTTCCCTCCCTTCCTATTGCACTTAAAGATTGCAGATACCCTAATCTTATCGTCATAAACAGTCCCCACACTCCGGACTGCTCGCATTTACTACTTCCTTCATCACTTCCTACGTCGCGGACCTGTTTCCCTCCCTTCCTATTGCACTTAAAGATTGCAGATACCCTAATCTTATCGTCATAAACAGTCCCCACACTCCGGACTGCTCGCATTTACTACTTCCTTCATCACTTCCTACGTCGCGGACCTGTTTCCCTCCCTTCCTATTGCACTTAAAGATTGCAGATACCTTATTCTAATCGTCATAAACATTTCCCGCACTCCGGACTACTCGCCTTGACTACTTCCTTCACCACTTCCTACGTCGCGGACCTGTTTTCCTCCCTTCCCATAGCATTAGGATTGCAAATACCTTAATCTAATCGTCATAAACAGTTCCCACACTCCGGACAGCTCGCCTTGACTACTTCCTTCACCACTTCTTACGTCATGGACCTGTTTCCCTCCCTTCCCATAGCATTTTAGGATTGCCCATACCCTTATCTAATCGCCATAAACAGTTCCCTCACTCCTGACAGCTCGCCTTGACTACTTCCTTCACCACTTCCTACGTCGCGGACCTGTTTCCCTCCCTTCCTATTGCACTTAAAGATTGCAGATACCTTATTCTAATCGTCATAAACATTTCCCGCACTCCGGACTACTCGCCTTGACTACTTCCTTCACCACTTCCTACGTCGCGGACCTGTTTTCCTCCCTTCCCATAGCATTTTAGGATTGCAGATACCCTAATCTTATCGTCATAAACAGTCCCCACACTCCGGACTGCTCGCATTTACTACTTCCTTCATCACTTCCTACGTCACGGACCTGTTTCCCTCTATTCCCATAGCATTTTATGATTGCCTATACTACTTCCTTCACTACTTCCTACGTCACGGACCTGTTTCCTTCCCTTCCCATAGCATTTTAGGATTGCAGATACCTTAATGTATTCATCATAAACAGATCCTAGACTTCGCACTGCTACCCTTGACTACAATGTATCGAGTAATCTTAAGTATAATCTTTGCTCAATATTAACAAGTGATGTTTTTCCTTTTGTACTGTATTTGTAATTTCCTAGTATACTGTGGGTAGTTGGCTTATTATGAGCACATGCTAAAACTTCAAATCTTTTGTTTACTTTTTACTTGTTATTTAATTCAGCCAACATGGTTACCTAGCAACCCATAAGACTAATGTTAAAAAAATGTGATTTTTCAGTTTCATTTTTCTACGGATTCCTGAGAGACTTTTTTAACGCTATATAGATGTTGGCACTCACCGATATGGTCTTTATCACCATGCAAAATTTGAAAACGATTGATTCAGCCGTCTAGGAGGAGTTTGCGTATTACGAAATGCATAAAAGTCGACGTATAAGAGCTTCGCTCGCTCCGCTCAATAATACAACATAAACTTGAAGAACATGAGCTAGTGATTGACCACTGTCAACACTAGCTAACAAAGAGAATTTTGATAACACTTAGCATATCTGAATGGGAGGTCCAATATTGTATGTCGCTTCAGTCTTAAATGGTGTCGTGATTGTCCAATAGATTAAGTGCAAGATGATTTGAATGATTTTCTAATTTTACAATGTATTTTTCACTAGATTTTGTAATTATTCTTTAACTGTTAGAATTTGAAGATCATTATGATGTGTTCTGTTGGTAACAAACCAAGGTGCGTTGACAATTTTACGTAATAATTTTGATTGGTAACGTTGAATAATTTCAATGTTAGAGGTACTTGCTGATCCCCAAAGCTGAATCCCATAAGTCCACATTGGTTTTAGAACTGTTTTGTACAGTAACAATTTATTTTGTGTACTAAGTTTTGATTTAGATCCAAGAAGCCAATTAAGTTTAGTTGTTTTTAAATTTAGATGTTGTCTTTTAGTCCAGATATGTTCCTTCCAATTAAGCTTTGCATCTAAGTGCATGCCCAAGTATTTTATTTCTGTTACTTTAGGGAGGTGAATTTTGTTCATGGATACTGGAGAACATGTAGCCTGATTTAAGGTAAAAGTAATGTGTGCTGATTTATTTTCATTAATTTTGAACCTCCATGTTTTAAACCAATGTGAAATTTCATCCATGTTTAGCTGTAAATTTGCTGTAGTTTGAGCCGGATTGTCGTGGACAGATAAAATCGCCATGTCATCCGCTAATGTAGCAACCATAGTGTTTACACTTTCTGGCAGGTCCGATGTATAGAGAATATACAAGAATGGTCAAGTACCCTTCCTTGGGGGATTCCTGATTCTATAGGGTAAAGGTCAGTTAAGTAATTTTGATGTTTAAGTAATTTGTAATTTAAGTAATGTTAAGTAATTTGGAAAGTTCTGTTGGTAAGATATGATTTTAAAATAGGAAATACTGAATGGGGTGGTAACTTCTTAATTTTGAATAGTAAGCCAGAGTGCCATACTTTGTCAAATGCCTGACTGACATCAAGGAAAGCAGCCGAACAAAATTGTTTGTTTTCCATACAGTTTCAAATTGTATGAACAACCCTATGGACTTGTTCTACGGTGCCATGTCTCCGTCTAAATCCAAATTGGTGTCCTGGAATGACGTCATCTCTTCTTCAAAAAGAGCTTGTAGTCTTTTGAGGAACAATTTATCAAACAACTTAGACACTATAGGTAAGAGACTTATAGGTCTGTAGGAAGTGATTTCATGAGGAGGTTTTTCCTGGTTTTGGTATAACAATTAATTGGGCTATCTTAAATTGATTTGGTATGTGGTCTAGTCTCAATATAGAATTAAAGAGAAATGTAATAAAAATAATTCCTTTCCTCGGCAGTTCTTTTAAAATTTTCCCAGTGATAGAATCGTAACCAGGAGATTTTTTTTGGATTTAGCGATTTGTCAATAGTTGCCTTGATTTCTGTAGGTCTGAATTTTTCCAGAGGAAAGCCAAGTTGAAGTGGAGAGTCCAAGAATTCTATTATTTCTTCTTCATTATTAACCACACCTACATTTGGCTTGAAAACATTGGAAAAGTAATCACCGAAAGCTTCAGATTTTTCTATATCACTCTTAGCCCAGCTTCCATCCAATTTACGAATTGGTGGGATTGCTTCAGCCTTTTTGCAACTTTCCATAAAGAGTAATCCGTAGTTTTCGTAGGCGACAAAGATTGAGTATATTCTTCAAACCATCGGTTTTTTGTGTCGTACAATAATCTTTTCAAATTCTGTACTGCAAGGTTAAAGTTGGTTTTTATCATTTGGGTTTATTTATTTTTACTTTCTCCCCCTATACCATATGGAGAAACTATTGTTTTCGTCAAAATTTTTGAGTTTGAATTTTGAGTGAATATATTCGTTTTGGGTCCCCCTGGACCCAAAAAAGTGGTTTTCAAAGTGATGTCTGTGTGTGTACAGAGCTAGGGACTACACCTGTGGTCCGATTTCGATGAAATTTGGTATGTAGGTTCTAATCCATGGTATCTCCAGGCGTTTTCTTTATTTATTTGATATTTTGGTTTTTAATGGGGATTTTCCATAAAATCCCATAAAAAACCGGAAAAATCGGATTTTCTCAAAAATAGCCCAAACGATTTTAATGAAAATTTAGTATGTTGTAGCCCTTTAAGTTCTGAACAAAATGGTACAGATCCCATTTCTGTAAAAATTACGGTTCAAAAGTTATTGTAAATTATGTTATTTTCCCATAAAACCCCATAAAACAACGAAAAATAGGATTTTATAAAAAAATCTGGTTCTGATTTAACATAGTATGTTATGGTCCTTACAATTTTGATAGCTTTTTTAATTTTGTATAAATTTTGATTTTTAACGGAGATTTTCCCATAAAACCCCCAAAAAATAACGGAAAAATGGGATTTTCCCAAAAATGGCCCAAACGATTTTGATAAAAAATTAGTATGTTATAGTCCTTTATATTCTGAACAAAATTTTACAAATCCCATTTCCGTATAACTCTCACCGCTTACACATGATAAAGGTTGTTGACAAACTTATGGGAGAAAGTATGTGTCAGAATGCTGATAGGTACCGTTTATTTTATTTTTATTTTCTCTCAACGGTTTACACCAGTTTGCAAAAAATGGATACAATGTTATAAGAAAGCAAAATTCATGCGACAGTGAAGGTGGTACGGTATTAAGTAGTACAGTAAAGTGGTAACAGTAAGAACATAGTGAATGAATAATTAATAAGTAAATAGATAGGTACTATATAAATTTATGTTTTTTGAGTTTTGCCAAATTCTTCTGAGTCGTCTCTTTTCTGCTATATTTTTCTTGATATGAATTGGGTACCCTTGAGGAGTATGTTAATATGGTTTAATCTATGGCAATACCAATTACAATTACGTGCAAATTATTACATAGATATTGACATCATATTAATTTTTAAAGAGGCGTGGTCCAGGAGGAACTACAGTATTACGATGGTGAACTTCTAGTCCTATAATAAAATCTGAAAATATCCTTTTTGTTTTTTTAACACTTTGTTACATATCGCACACAAAGATATTTTCGGAACTAATCTGTGTGCAGACGTTGGTTCTCACATATGATCCACCCGTTTTAGAATGCCTTGCAGTCTTGCTGTCACAGGTGATTTCTCCGATAGAGGTAGTCGGCCATTATTTATGTGTTGTCAGTGTATTGTCGATATTTATTAGTATTTTTCTGCTAATGAGCCTAATTTGACCGACGTATTCCAGTCTTTTGTACCTACTTTTGGCTCATTTTAAAGTATTGTATCGAATTTATTACTTATAGGTAAGCCCTTCTCTAAAATATGCATACAATATCTACTTCCAACAGAACTACCTATGACTAATGTCAGATTACTGCTAATTCCGTTTGTTTGTCTACGTCATTTAAAGCAATATATTTTACATAACGTTACAAAGGAAATCTAATTAGAACACTAACTTATATTCAATCACATCAGCCTCAGTTTAATATTGAAGAATTCACGAACAATATGTTCTCTGTCGATACCATTATAACTTAGTCTGAACCTAGCCCTATCTCAATAAACTTTTGTTTGTTATGGGAAGGAGTGGGACAGGCCTATCTCGTTAAAAGACCTGATAACGGTATTTTATGTAGAGTTCAAGATTAATTCCTTTATCTAGTTAGGCATATGCCTTAAAAATATGAAAGGACCTAAAATATTTAAGTTAGGTACTACCCAACAATTTAATAGGCCTAAGTTATATGTGCAGACTAAATTGTACAAGGATATTAAATTAAAGGACTTAATTCAGGATATTAAACCCTTAAATAGTCATTAGAGAGGCTTGGATAGAATAATTCCAGCAGTATATCTTTATCATTGTCTTTAAATCATTGTCCTGGCCTAGGTTTAGTGTTATTTTTTCTTGCTTGCCATGAAAAAGGTTTAGACCTAGCTTACTTAACACTTATACCATACCGAAACCCCGTACTGACAGACCCACGGGAATTTTCACAAACACATGTTGGCAACACTGTTTACTTGGGGGATTCTGTTCCCCCATTACCTTCCTCCCTTTACCTCCCCTACCTGTTGATAATACCTGTTGTTTGTTCATTTTGCGTCGGTGCCGTGACCTTGACAGGTTATCTGTTCATAACATGCCCGTCTCAGAAGCCCAGCGATAGTGTATTTTAAAGCGGGGTCTTACAGGCCCAGGGGTTCAGTTTGTGTGTTTCTATGTGGCATCTCACAGACCGGGAGTTTCGGTTAGCGTCAGCCTGGGTAGGGTTTCGGTATTAGTGTTAAACTTATCGGAAAATATGCATAAGTTAAACTTAGTAACAAAAGGAGACCTAATGAAGGTATAGGTGCTTATGGTCTCTAAATTAGTCATAAGTTGTAAGGTTTTAAAATGGTATTTTTATATTAAAAGTTAAATGTAAGTTAATACGTAAGTTACGCATAAGTTAGTGCATGGTGTTCCTTTTTTAACCTCACAATTTACACTGAAACCCCATTCATCATCATTCGTGAGTCAAGATGGACAGATATTTAAGTTAGGCCTTGTAATTTAATTTTAATTTTAATGTGACGTAACTTAAGAAGTTTAGCCTATTGCTGTTTGCTGTGTACTGTATCCAAATAAAGTCATTGAAGGCATAATATTGCTGTAGTCTATTATTCTTAAACCAAAAGTATGTATTGGTGAAATGAAATAAAATGTCTTTATTGCTTTTGACATGGAAATAGCATGCATTTCAATCATCAAAATAGTAGCATATATATCATACTGTGCAAACCTTGCAAAACACTACAAAACCATGCCTTCTGCTCTACAATGAAAGAATCCTGTTGAGGTAAACAAACCATCTAAGTTACACACCATGTACACAATAGGTACCTTTACCTTCAACTTAATTAAACCCTAAAATTTTCAAGGCTGTCTGGGCAGTTATTAATAAGCAAATTTTTTATTTCCATTAAGTTTTTACCTTCTAATTTCTTTATGTGTAGTTTATTGAAAAAAATGTTCCTTTGACATACTGTAAGGGATATTCTCTGTCCTTTTGAACTGTCTACTCACTCTGAAAAAATCATTAAACTGTCTAGTGTTATGGTCATGGTATTTGTCCTACATTAGAAATTAAATTACTAGAACAACAGCTAAATTTAACCTAACATATCACCTGGTACATAGGCCTACATTGGGTACAAAGTCATAATGTTGTATGTATGATACAAAAATGCCTTTGCTAGGAGTCCTTGTGCTAATTTTTGCTACCAAACGTGGACGGTAGGCCTACAGCTCTTTTTTGCAATATAGAAAAATTCTTTTGGTGTATTTGTGAAAAGAACCTCGCCACAGGACAAGACCATAAGCCAGATATGGATACACCACTCCAAAATAGACTGACCTTAATGTTTCACAGTCCAAATAGTTTGAAAGTCTTCTTAGCAAAGAAATACCACTCAAGACCTTAGCACCAACATGATCAACGTGTTTATCACATGTAAAGTGTTTGTCAAAAAATAGCCTATTCCAAGAAATTTACAAAAATCATTACCGTACTATGAGTCATATCATACCATGAAAGTTTATTCTTAAAATATTAAAGTTTATCTTTTAATCTATTTCTAAAAAATAAGCAGTGGCAGCTTCAAAAAAACTAATAAATTAGCTTTAATAAAGCGTTAATAAAGCTTTAAGATTTGCCATATTGTTTGCCCAGCACAGCTTAGAAGTATCATCTGCATACATACATGCAAAAACATTATCCATGACCATGACAATAAAAATATTTACATAAACTATATACAGAAAAGGTCCTAAAATTGACCGCTGCGGTTACCACTGGTGTTTCAGACCTATTTTCTCTCTCTGTCGTACCATCATCAAATGAACTAACTGTAAGTGCATTGTTGGCGAGTTTTTAAATAAGATTCCACCAGACTCACCAACCATCCTGGAACTTAATAGCCAATCAGTTTTGCCAATAAAATAGAATGGTAAACCCGTGTAGAAATGTAAACCCCTCTTGCCATGATTAACACAGACTTAAACACGGGCAAAAGGGTTCAAAGTCGGTAGTCGGTAGCCTACTGTAATAGCAGAATTGGGTCGGTTTGCAACTCTGCCGACACCTTTAGCCATAACCAAAGGTGGGCTTCAGATCCTACGGCTGGATGGAAACCTACTTACATCTCCCAATTAATATGCAATATACCTTAGTTTTTCTGCAAGTATCTACTTATGTTTTACCCTTACATTCAACAAATAATTTGCTGTTTCAGAAACCATTATGTCTGGCTCAGGTCCTTACAGCTACTCATATATATTCAAATATATTATCATTGGAGATATGGGAGTTGGGAAATCATGTCTCTTACACCAGTTCACAGACAAAAAATGTAAGTATACTTAAAATGATCTACAACAGAAAATTTATTTTTAACAAGCCTAAAGATAATTGTAAAATATAATTTTGTAATAACAGGTTACGTACCTTGACGTCCACAATTCTTCTATTCCACTTACTAAGAGGAATTGTGGACGTCAAGGTACGTAACCTGTTATAATTGATTACCAATTCCGGAAGGCTTCAACATGAATAATATAATTTTGTAATCTACCATACGAGTAAGGTAGTAGGCCTATTCAGGCCAAGTTAAGTGGTATTACATACGGTACAGTTTTCTCTCATTCCCTATTGAATGATGACAGAGCCTAACTTAATTCTTAGATGGTGACAGTTCCTGGCCTAATTCTTAGATTTCGCATTAGTGGTGTCGTTGTGCCAACCCAGCTAAACAATTGACTAATTGAGTACCGGTACCCTACTATCAAAATAAACTGCCTGGGCAATTGTATTAATTAAGGCAATTGTTCTACAATTAAAAAAGATAATCAAATTTAATCAATTTTTAATTTGAAACCCGCAATAAGCCTTGACTATCTAGTAGCTCAATAGTTAACTTCTGAAGTTACTGCTAAGCTTGCCCTAGTAATGTAGGCCTACAGTAAATGCATAATTTAAGTTTTTCTCTAGGCAGAAAATCTAAGCAATCATTTAGCCTTTTTATTTAGCATGGATTGAAGTATGATTTTCATATGTTACGTGCCTGATAGGATAAAAAGTCAATAGGGAAAGCAAAATTTTGTAAATATATTAGGCCTGTGCAAGTTTGCTGCTGGAGAGGTATGCCAGTCTCTAAATCAATTTTATTCGATTCTGGCCTAGTTTTATTTTTAAATATTTTAATATTTATTAGGCCTGCTACTGGTAAAAAAACAAAATAGGCCTTCCCCCTTATAAGCTATCAATCTTGTATGCTAATTTCAAAGTTTGTCTGTGATTTGAATAAAATACTTGATAAAATACTTTTACACAATTTTTCCCTTAGTTATGGCCGATTGTCCTCACACAATTGGAGTTGAGTTTGGAACTCGAATCATCGAGGTTGACGGACAGAAAATCAAACTACAGATTTGGGATACGGCCGGACAGGAGAGATTCAGGGCTGTGACCAGGTAGCCTATATAATTAATTTAATAAATAAGGTACATAATAATACGTACATAGGTAATAAATACCTAAATTCGTATGGTCACCATTCTAGAATAAAATATTAAAGCATGTTTAAAAGAATTAATAGATACTACTACACATGATAAACTTGTATATTTCACTATTCTGTATTTCACCAAACAATATGACAGGGATAATTTGGACATCTGGCTTGATTGGTTCAGATAAATCCTGATAAAAGAATACTTTTATTGTGTGCAACTGTCCAAATCCTAGTATTGAAACCATCTAACTTCATTCTTTCTTGGATACAGCTAGCATTAATATTGACCCATTGATAACAAAGGCATCTGACAAAGGCATCTGACAAAGGCATCTGGGTTTCAGTAATGACTTTGCGTGAAATAGAACCAAGCAATTTTTTGTAAATTTTTGGTCAGATTGAGTAACATTATTATTATTTGTCAAGGCTATATAAAACTGTAGGACATTTTATATATGACTAGCTGTACCCACGGGCTTTGCCCCGTTTAACTTCAGAAGTATTCGCATGGCTCAATTACGTCCTGGTTGAAGTTCGCTCGCTACGCTCACTTACCTTTAGGTTGGAGCTCGTTCGCTGCGCTCACTTGCCTTCTGGTTGGCTCGTTCGATACGCTAACTCGCCTCCAGGTTAAAGTTCGTTCGCTACGCTCACTCACCTTTTGGTTGCAAATAAGCTGTTGTCATAAATTTAAAAAAAAATAATAGTGCTGCACCCTGTTGGTAATCCTTGTAACTTCAATGCTATTGAACATCACAGAAAAGAACCAACTTGTTTAATTGAAACAGCTGTTAATATTCATTAATTCCTTTTAAATGTGGAAAATCATAAGGTTAACATGGGAAACTCCAGAGCCACTGGGGCGGAGCCCGGAAGCCCGATCAGAATAAAAACTACTTAGTTTTCCTATTTAATGCCCAAAGAATCGGTGTACCGAATTTCAGCTTCCTAGGTAAATGGGAAGTGGGAGAATTAGTGATGAGTGAGTGAGTGAGTGAGTGAGTCAGTCAGTCAGTCAGTGAGGGCTTTGCCTTTTATATATTTAGATGTTACTTTTCCTAATTCGACCGAACGTTTACAATGACAACATCACAACCAAGGTGAAGTAAGGTCAACATCACAGAAAGGTGTCAAAAAACTTAACTAGGCCTTAAATTTTGAGTTTGAGTTAGCAGTTAGGTCTGAGCTTTGAAAATGTGTACCAACTTTGAGTTTTAAGGCATTAAACATTCTTCATTGTTTGACATTGATTGTTGCTGGATGTAGATCATACTACAGAGGTGCAGCCGGAGCTCTGATGGTTTATGACATCACTCGTCGATCTACCTACAACCATCTCAGCAGTTGGCTGACGGACACGAGGAATTTGACCAACCCGAGCACGGTAAAACCACCATTGCTGTCTGTGCTTTTTTTAAATTGTAAAGCCTCGATTTGATTTTTGGTTATCGGACCGCTCTTTGTGGCTGGTCAAGTACCTGAAATTTGAAAGGTTTCAATGCAAATACAGGCAGCCTACAGTAAAACTCCAACTATCCTAACTCAACTATCCAAATCACTGATTATACCCTTACGGAAAGAATTTGAAAACCCTAAAACCACTGTGATAAAGAAGGCAGGAGCCGTAATTGGGGTTAAAATTATGAGCAACTCCCGTGGTTGTGTAGACATTATCATTGTCTCCTACGATCATGGAAAAATCATCATTGTCTTCGTGGTCGTGGCATCCTGAATATCTCTCACAGTCGTGTAGACATCATTGTCGTCTCCTGTGGTCACGGAAAATATACTTCTCCCGTGATCATGTAAACGTTATCATCCTACTCCAATGTAAAAGCATGAATATTTAGATCGCGAGACGCGTTCTACAACTGTGATAATATCCCAACATTAACATTGATAAATGTGTTGTGTAAAAATCAAGTCGCTCACTTGTGCATCCCAAATTTTGGGAAAAATCCGATCATCAAAATTTGTATTAGGTATTCAAATGTGGTACGGTCCGAATTGATTTGGATAGGGGCCACTGAATGTATGGTGTCATAAATGGTTTTCTTGGCACTCTAGGTGTTTCAAATGAGCTGTAACATTCCTCAGAGCTAATAAAGTGCCAACTAAAGAACTTATGTCGCTGCCACAAATCTGGCTACAAGTTAATTTATGCCGTAATCTCCTAAAGAGCAACATTAAACCTTTTCAAAGCAATATTAATTAATTATAAAAGGTAGGCTATAAACTATTTCTGATCTAAATCTAATTTACTGCCATTTCAAGCCATTTTAACCATCCCATGCACTCTAACACTTTGCCATTGTAAACTTTAACATTTGTTAGGTTATATTCCTGATTGGCAACAAGAGAGATCTGGATGCCCAGCGAGACGTTACGTACGAAGAAGCAGCTCAATTTGCTGAAGAGAATGGACTCATGTTCGTTGAAGCAAGTGCCAAAACGTAAGTAACCCTAAGAGGTTTTTTTAGATACAAGAGTTAAGCTAGTAGAGTTTTAAGTTCTAAGTAATTTACCTACCCAGTTTATATTTCTCGATTACTTTATTTATCGTTATCAGTGTTCGAAAGCCCCAGGGACAAAATTTGGTTTAACAAAGCCTTTAAAAAAAACCAAAACTACAGATGTTCTCAGTTTGAAAAAGGTGCAACCTACAGTAGAATCTAAATAGTAAGCTATATATTGAAGGTATATTTAGAACTTAAGTACGGTAATTCATAAATTCTTTGTCTGCATTAATTATCTTGAATGTTAAATATACATTTTATGAAATTGTGTGCATTTGTGAGTAATTGTGTTAATGGTTTCTTGTTTACTTAAAACATGATTTTTTCAGAGGTGATAAGGTTGAAGAAGCGTTTTTTGAAACAGCAAAGAAAATATACCAAAGTATTCAGGATGGCAAGTAAGTGATTAGGTGTAGAAAAAAACTGTATGTGTAATATCACAGAAAACATATTACTATAACCCAGAATGCCAACCGCATGGTAAAAAGCATTAAGTGTTTTGAGAGAGCTTTGCCTGTCAATCGTAGGCAGCGCCACCAGCGTTGCTATGCTGAGTGCATGGCAACGCTGGTGGCGCTGCCTACGATTGACAGGCAAAGCTCTCTCAAAACACTTAATGCTTTTTACCATGTGGTTGGCATTCTGGGTTATAGTAGTATGTTTTCTGTGGTAATATGTAGTAATGGTTATTTGCTTTTTAGAATCATGTTGTTTTAGCAATGTTTTTTTATTGTTTATTATTCATTTTTAAGTGAACCAAATACACATAAAAATTATTTTTTTGGGAACTAAAACCAGTATTTAAACTGCAAGGTGGCTCTTCTGGATAAGAAGAGAGAGTATTTTTGATCATACTAGTATTTTGATCATCATTGGTTCAGCAGTTCCCGTTTAGCAGGTGTATTGGTAAAGTGTTTCTACCCTTTTCTTAAAATCAAGCTCTGACGTCTTCTTTTTAGCATCAAGCCTTCTAAGGCTGCGGCCATATGGGCGTTTTTTCACGCAAGAACGCAGCGTGAAAAAACGTGAGAAATATGAGCAGCGTTAAATGTAATGAGGTATGCCACACGCAGTGTGTTTTCCCGCAGTAGTGGTCGCCTATTTGTTCCAATGCTACTCTAATTTTTCGCGTGTTTTCACGCTGCGTTTGTGCGTGAAAAAAACGCCCGTTTAGCCGCAGCCTTAGTTGGTTCCTTTCTTTCTTAACTTATAACTTATTTGTGGTCTCTAAACCAATTAATATCTCCCACCAATTCCCTTTAAACCCAGATTTTGCTACCAATCCCTCATTCATACTATTAATTGTGCTGCAACCTAGGAGAGAAGTGTAAAACTTCTCTGATTGGCCGCTTGGTTGACTGTTATAGTGTTATTGTTTGTGTGGTAGACACTGATCAATGAACGGTGTTAGAGGTCTCAGCACTGCAGATTCTATAACTAAAACAATATGACTAACTTTCTAGTATTCTGTGACCTCAGTACGTTGCTTTTACGATAAATAGGCCTATCATAATTTTAATGTACCTTGTTTGTAATCTTGTGTGTTTACGTTTATGATCCATCATCAAACAAAGTAATAGCGGATAATTATGTTTCCTGAGAAGGGTAATTGATAATAGTGTAAAAGCAGAAACATTTGAAACACCAACAACATATGAAACTGCAGACAAGTAAGGTGCAAAGACTAGTAATATTTCCGAACCTAATGTTTTTCCCATTTGTCGCAGATTGGATCTTAATGCTGCAGAGTCTGGTGTCCAACACAAACCGTCACAGAAGTCCGGCACCAACACCCTCGTCAACGATCAGCAGTCTAACAAGAACAACTGCAATTGTTAGGTCTAGGGAAGATTGGTAACCGACTAGATGCGCCTCCGGTTTATTTGGTCAGATTTTTGTTTTAACAATCGCTTTTTTGTACTCTCTAAAACAAAAATGGAGCATGTCGGAAAAAACCGAGACATGTTTATTTAATTGCAAATCATGTTTTGGACGATTAAAATATTTCATTTGTGGTCGCTTGGCTGTACTATAACACCTATGTATATTTTAAACTGTAGGCTGTTCTAGCACGGTTTGGTTACGGTTGAACGGTAGTCTGCTCAAATGGTTTCTGAAAGGAAATTTTAACATGGGGTTTTTGGGCGTTTTTACCTCAGATTTTATTTGGCCATTATAGGCTATTTGGAAAATTTAGGTTTTCATATAAATAACTTTTATGTTTGTTGAGAGAATTATATTAGTTCTTACTCCACCTAAACATTCCAAGCTATAAATACTTTTTGTTCTATTATTTTTAAAATCGGCCTGTTTCTTACCACTTCTAATGCCCGTAGCTAAAATGCATTTTCCGAACAAAAATCCTAATTCACAGATTAGGATTTTTGTTCACAGATGTTGAATGTTTAAACTGAAACACTGTTGTATTTTAGAAAATTTTGTATTTGTATTAGTAAAACTGATTGAATTGGAATATTTTAAACACTCCCAATAATATATCATGTAGGTTTTGTTTTAAGATTAATGTAAAACTTGCTTTTAAAAACCCTTGGAGCCATTTGAGCAGTACTGTTTTGTTAATATTAAGTCATTGTAATGTAAACTTAATTCTTATTTTAAAGAGCATTTTGTTCCATGTTACTGATTACCCATATGTATAATGTACGTACTACGTTTATCATAAAATGTAATATATTGTGAGATTGTCACACTTTATTTTCACATAGGGTTAAGTGACTGAAGCAAGAATATTTTGGAGTTAGCCTAGATTGTTATATTTGTTATTATACGATTTTGTTGGCAGAAATATATATTTTTTGTTATGCTTGTATAATACCAGAACCTTTTTTATTTTTTAAAATATCACTTAATCATTGTGTGTAAAACAAAAGCCAAAGCCAACTTTTCCTTGTCTTTCAATTGGATTTAAATTTAACTTGAATTTGATAAATTTATAGCAACTTAAAAACTGATCATATGATCCTTTGTACAGAATATCCACATGATTAGAACTTGTACTGAGATATGTCAAATTCAATTTCACACAGTACTGATATAAGTTTGAAGTCTTATAACATTTGGAAATATATTTACACTGCATTGTAATCATACACTAAAAGAAAATTACAATATTTGTCATTATCTATTGAATTTAATTTCTGTCTTGTGTTATTAGTGTGGTAAAAGTGTAAATACATTTCATTCAACATGTTAGTATAAATCATTTTAGTTAATTTCAATGGAGAATTAATTTTCATGAATTTCTTTATAATTTTATCAGGTCTGCAATCAACTATTGTGCAGTATAAATACACAAATGTTGAATCATAAGTGTTCAAGTAAAATTTTGGTAAATAAAAGTGTTATGTTGATTACATTGGTTATTGACAAAAAAATCATTGTTTAGGAAACTGTGCCTCAAAATTAAATTTGACTTTAATAGTCTTAACTCGTCAGCATTATCACAGAATTAATATTTACTTGGTTGCTGGATTATTACCTACACCTTTCATGGAGATCTTACAAAGATATAAAAGATACACATAAATATGTTATTGTTAAAAGTTAACTTGTGGTCTGTTTTAGCAGTTGAATGTTGGTCATTGGCCAATTTTCTCGTTAAGTTTGTAAAAAAAAACAAACAGTTTCAAAGGCGTTTGCCTGATGTACAAAGTAGTTGAACATATCTTATCGTCAGTCGCTCTTCGTAGGTTAAGATTAAAGATTGGTTGATTGACTTTGACACCTTTGTATTGTTCAGTTTTGTCTTAACTTTGCTATTATGTTTCTTAACCACATTGTATTTTTGTGTCTCAGTAAAATATATGACATTCCGATTAATTCATAGTGTTTATGATTACTTCCATCAACTGGGATTAAGTCCAAAACTATGAATGATACAGGTTTGCTGCTAATATATCTTATAAGACATTTTATTGAGCAATGGATAGTGCTGGCACTTTTTTAAAACTTAAAATATTTATCGGAGTTGATTTAAAAAAAAGGAAAATACTTGCACACTTGTAGGCCTACGTCAGTTGCACAATTCTATGGACACATGATACGTTGGTTGGTAGAATAGGCATCACTATATAAAAGGCATTTGGCATTTCAATTTTCATAGAACTTGGAACAATGTACACCTAAATTTTAGCAGGAACCAACTGGTCTGTTAGTCTTGGCAAAGATAAAGATAACAAAATTAGTTATGAAAAGCTTATCTTTATCCAATAGTTGTGGATTTGAGGTATCTTTGAGGTTCCATTATACTTAGTTCATAAGTGTTCGCACCCCAGGTCACTTATCAGTTAGCTAAATGCTATTGGTAATTAACAGAATTTGAACCCAAGATTTCAGGGACCGAAGCCCTACACACTACCACTAGACCAGCTCGCTCCCTATAGAATTTTGAAAGCTTCTAGTAGAAGCTTAGAAACACAGTTTCTCTCATTTGGCCTTGTATTTCCACCGATTCTGGATTTCTCAAACTGTTGCTTGGATGAAAATATCTGTTCTGCTATTCATTAGTTACCTTTACAATTCTAGATTAATAATATTTATCAACCCGTAACTTAAAATAGTCTTCCGATGTGTTATTGGAATTTGACCTTGTAGATTAACTGGGTTTGAAATAAGAAGAGGTTTCCTCTATTCAGGTTTACTGTCCCAAGCTAAAAATCAGTCATCAAGATCAAAGTCTTTAAAAGTTCATCGATAAGTGATTCGCCTGTAGGACCACAGAGAATTAAGGGACAGAGGATAAACTCATGGTACACTTAAGTGGTGTCAAGGGCAAAGTCCACCACTGCCCCCTTGTCATCTTACACTCGGTGGAGGAAGACACTGTTGCCCTGTGCGATGGAAATTTCTACTCAAGGCTCGGACGAGCAAAGAAGAGCTACAACATACCAGAGCTGAAAGCGCACTGTCGTCCCGTAAGCTTCTGTCCTCTGTACCTTAATTCTCTGTGGTTAGACTCTCTTGTATAGTATCCTACTCACTTGAATAAAAGTATATATATTTTTTTACTATTTTAGCGAATTTCCCATATAGGGAACAAGCTATTACCATAGTACTCATGGTAAGACCTGGACCAATTTACTTTTTTGTTTTGAGGTCCCTAGAGGCCAAAAACACCATCCGTCCAAATTCATATGTGTCCGTTAGCACGATAACTCGAGCATAAATGATCCGATTTTGATTAAATTTGGTATAATCATACGTTTATTCAAACCAGCATGATCAGACTAAGGGAACAGGGGTTTATGGGGTAAAAATTGGGTATTCCCATTTTTACCCCTTGAGAAACATAACATTTTGCAATTTATTTCCAAACTATTTTGTAGAGCTTAAAAAACAAATAATTTAGTATATTGAAGCGTTATCATGCGCCTAATGGTTATGGAGAAAATTCCAAAAAATTGTAAATAAAAAATTAACATGTTATTCTTATGGAGAATTAAACTCTTTTAATATGCTTGTTTATGATCATATTTTGAAAAATGTACTTATTTTATACTAAACTTTTAACATATCACACAAAAAACACTTTTTTACCCTCCCTATTGCAGCAAACCTAAGTGCTCGATAAACCAATGCTATTTAAATAGGGAATAAATGTGATATTTTTAAGGAGATATTCTAGAGTAAATCCAAACAGGCAAATGGAAATTTGCTTAGTCTACAGGTTTGCTGCGGTGGGGATATTTTCATATATTTATTGAAACAATCAAAACTCATAATTATTTAGTAAATTTTGCACCCTATTGATTTATTATGTTAGGTCCATCATTGGACCCTAACAAATGACATGGAAACTGAAAATTATTCGAAACAGGGAGAAACATGATAAAGAACAAACACAATTGTAATATAAAAACCGAAAACACTTTATTTACAATATGGTTTATGTTAAGAATTAAACAATAACTAAAAGGGAAATTATACAGAAACGCTTTCAATACAATTTTTTTAGTTAAAATTTCCCACGAACCTCAAGTTGAGTTAACTCCTAAAGCCTTTGACCATGCCTTGAATTGAACAATAGTTGTAGAGATGACTGTAAAACATGGTAATATATAGCTGTGAATTAACACTTTCTAAACCATTTGGAGAAAAAATGTCAGCAAAAAGTTTGTAACAATACCTTAAAAAAGTTAAAATTTTATAAATTGCTGGCAAATAATTTCAGGGGTAATATCTTTCATAAAAAGATATTCTACACAAACCCTTGGTAAACCATTACACAAAATGGAATGCAAGTAAACTAAAAATTAAAATATATCCAACTCTGACACTGATTAATACACATTTACACCAAAGTGTAACATATGAATGCAAGTGATAAGTGATACTTGCGGATGAGAGGCAATAGCAGGACTACTGAACGTATATAAGGCAAGTTAAATATATTTCTGGTTTTTAAGGTGTATTTATATTTACATTTAATCAATAAACATTTTTTACAAATCTTGATGTACTTGAACGAACACACATTTACTTGTAAAACATTGTCTGGTTTTTATAGGTGGCCATTACACTCTTGATAACCCTTGGCTTTTTCTTTGTTGTTGAGTTTATCTTCCCAATTGAAGAATAATTGGTGTGAATTAAACCAAAATTTCGTAAATTGTGAATGATCTGTGAATTGATCAGTAAATGAAAATCATGAACATCGCCCCCCCACCCCATAATATTATCGTCATTGATGCTTTTATCGTAAACATAAATTTGTTTTGCAACTTACAGCCAGTTACACGTAAACTGGCTAATTAAAAAATACTAACTTCGAAGCCAACCCTAATTCTAACCGATTAAAAATAAATAAAAGTGTATTAAACTAAACGTGATACAATATACAAAAGGTATTTATTACATTTTTCTATTATATACAAAAATAATAAATACTACATCCTTATAATATCACAAAGATTCTGAAAAAATGCAATTTAATCGGAAAAACATAATTATATTTTTCAACAGTAAAATTTGAAACAAGAACTGTTCAAATCAAGACCTGGTCCAGTTGTGATCTGAGAGGCCAAAGTAACACAAACAAATGAGATGCAGCCGTAAATATTTAACCGTTATCTATCCTCGCAGTGGAACCAAGAGAATAGCGTGAACTTGCACTGCTGGGACTTGACAGCATGTTGGGAACTCTCTGGAACAGGGATGGAAACATTACAAATTGAAAACAACTTATTTATTGTATCAACTTCATGAACAACACTTGGTAAATTATTATCGTAAAGTGTATGGTACGAGTTACCAGTAATATAAGTGTTATGCCTATGACCGTTTTATAAATTAGCCTTTTCAATTCAATTCTTAGCTTAGTCTTAACAGTATTGTATACTTATTTTACAGCAATGTTTTGTTTCTTTCCAGTAATTTGAATGAGTTATTTTCCAAATTTTGACAATGAGGTTCAAGGATTGAGAGAAAAGAAGTAAAATTGTAATACTTCGAACCTCAACTGTCAAGTCTAATTTAATTGATTATACAATAATGAGTGAGTGTTTGGGACAGTGAGTCGTTGCATCACTATCACTGGCAATGAAAAGCTATAAACAAAAACATAACCTCTCTTAAGACGTTATGAGTAGTTATTGATAGTAATTTAAAAACGGTTGTAGATAAAGTAGTTTATGCATCTCGCGTAATTAGCCTTCAGGACTAGATAAAGGCATACTATCTTCACACGATCGTTGCGTAAACTACTATATAATGTCTATGGAGAAACCAGTGATGTACCTATCGGTTTCTGAAGACAATTTTTTGTTCAATATCATTACTTAACGCAGCAACTAAAGAACCAATGGAAAACCATAATGAATGGAAGTAAGTCGGCTGCCCAACATACATCCATGGCAGTTATGCCGTGCATCCAGATCAGGTACCTGCCACTACATTATACCGGATCAACTCTTGTACTGTACCGGCTCTTCCTTATTTCTCGGTCTGCCAACAATTTCCCATATTCATCCATATTCATGGATTAGCATCACTAATACACCTATAATAACAACGCCTGGGTTACAGTTCAATGGGCTAAGCTATTCAAGCCCCTGGAAACTATCTCCGCTCAGATTTCCTGAGGAGGCATACAAAAGAAATCTACACACAAAAAAAATTGTTTAACTTGCAATTAATTCATAGAAAATATGAGGCGGAACTTCTGGACACATTTGTCAATTATGGCAAAAGATTATTCCTTGGTCCTTGACTGAATCAACTTGTGTAGGATCAGACTATGAAAAGTATTATTGGATTTATACATAAAATTGTTGATAGATAAAAACAATTGTACATTAGAGTATAATGTTTTCAATGAATCTGCTTTTGTTTTGAGGGGAATGTACTGTTTGAGTTACCTCTTTACTGGTGATCTCTGGATTCAAGCCACATAGGTGTACACTTTCCTGGAACATAAATAAAATGTAAGACTATACTCAATACAGTACCTAAGATACAATTATAGATGAAAATCTACACACGTATCGCCAGCACGTGTAAAATGTAGTCATGTTTCATGCTGTAGGCCTACATGTTTGGAAACAGCTCATATTTAGCAGCATATATTTAAAATACATCACAATGAGTGATGTTTATTGAATATCTACAGAATATATATTCAACAAACAACGCTCAATGTGATCTATTTTACATATAAAAATAAAAATAGTAGATTTTCATCGATCGTTGAATATTAAGAGTGTCAAGGCCACTCATATTGAAGAAAAAACACTGTAAGAGAGCCTGCATTAGAGCCTGATTATGTAAAAGTTTGAGTGAATGAGAAGGCCTAACCATCTATTCTATATATAATTCAGTTTTAAAAATCTTTGTACAACTAAATCTAGAGTTCTACTGGACCGATTTTATTAATTAATGGGTCGTTGGAAAGCTTAGGTCGTGTAGATTTGCAAATAACTATGAAAGTTTGTGTTTGTTATGATTTATGATGAAAAGTTAAAAAAAAAACATGTTTTCCATAAGAAATACATTGCAAACCGTGTTTTTCACACTTTTTATTTGCGTGCGACTTATAGCTGCCATTTTTTAATATTTCCAAAAAGTGCATGGTATCAATTTGTAGGAAGTTTTATTCTCTTTCAGAATATTACCTTCCACTTTGGTCGATTCCCTCACCATTTTAAAGTTATTTGCAAAAAATCTAAGCAACCTCCGAATTTATAGTAATGAGAAAATATAGAGTTTGGGATATTTTTGTTAAACTTTGTACAACTAAATCTAGACTTCTACTGTACCGATTTTGTTAATTAATGGGTCATTATAAAGCCTAACTCATGTAGATTTGCAAATAATTATAAAATTGTAATTTTACTAAATATTTGTGGTGAAAAAGTAAAAATAATAAAAATACATTAAAAACTGCTTTTTCAAGTTTCTGTTTCAAGATTCTATTTCTAGCCAGCTTTTGGCTGCCTTTATTAAGTATTTTCAAGAAATGCATAGTAGTTATTTGTAGTAAATTTTATTCTCTTTCAGAATATCCCATTCAGTTTGGTCGATTTCCCCTCCATTTAAACGATATTGGCAATAAACCAAGTGATCTCCAAATTTATAGTGGTGGGAAAATACTGAATTAGATATATTTTTGTTAAACTTTGTACAACTAAATCTAGACTTCTACCGGACCGATTTTGTTACTTAATCATTGATCGTTGGAAAGCCTAATTTGTGTAGATTTGCAAATAATTATGAAAGTTTGATTTTATTTGATATTTGAGGTGAAAAAAAATAATACATTTAAAACTCCTTTTTTCCAAGTTTATATTTCCAATTTTATATTTGTACCCAACTTTAGGCTGCCTTTATTGAGTATTTTCAAGAAATTCATAATAGTAATTTGTACAAAATTTTATTCTCTTTCAGAATATCACCTCCCACTTTGGCCGATTTCCTCACCATTTCAAAGTTATTTGCAAAAACGTTAAGCAACCTCCAAATTTATAGTAATGAGAAAATACAGAATTAAAGATGTTGTTGTTAAGCTTTGTACAATTAAATCTACAGTTCTACTGAACCGATTTTATTAATTAATAGGTCATTGGATAGCCTAATTTGTGAAGATTTGCAAATAATTCTGAAAGTACTGTTTAGGTTGCAAGCAAGATCGTTTGGCTATAAATCGATGATAAATAACTCCATTTTTTGAACAATTTGTGTTGGCCGTGATTTAGCTGTGTGCTTTAATGAAATGGAAGCTGTTTTTTCAATGAAGGTTCTTAGGTCAAAACAAATAGAATAACATAATTAGAATTAAGTAAATATATCTATAAAACTAAATTCCATATTCAAGATATAATCAAATTTATATTTTCTGATTGAGCGATACAGTATCTTGAACTTAACTGATTAAAATTATCAATATCTCAAGGGAATGCCTTTGAAGTATTTTAAGACAAAGACATAAATAAAAAATAGAGTTACGTATAATTGATTGCAGATAGGTAAAACGATTGTAATTGTTATTGATTCACGATTTAGCAGTGTTCTTTAGGTAGTCCGATCTTAATAATCAATAGCTCAAATGAGAGCTGGTATTTCACTTAAGGTTTTTAGACCAAAATGTATAATGTAATTAGAACTGCTGGAATACATCGTTCATTGAAGTGAAAAAAAAATCTTTCGTCGAGTAATACATTAGATAAATTAATGATAATGCTTGATGACAAACATGTGCTTGCATAGATTTAAGACCAAAATTATGAAAATCGGGAGGGTAGAAGAGCCCTCCTGTAAACCATCGCCCGCCTGCGAGACATTGAACTCGAAAAAACCCAAATTTAACTCCCATAAGAAATGTACAGGGAGGCAGTTTGTGCATAACTCAAAATATACGTCAAAATGCTTGATGGCAAATCTGCGGTACGTCCATACCTTTTTAAGGCCAAAATTAAGAAAATTGGTCGGGTAGAAGAGCTAACACGACTCGGAAAAGAAAAACCATTTATTTTTATAGATGGCAATAATTAGTTTACCAGTATGCATAATCTAATCATACGAAACATGTGTTAATAATTCAACAGCTTATTGTTATATTGTTATCTAATTATTTTGTCTTTGATTAAATGTTGTTGTTAACAATTTGCATTTGTGTTTAAAGTGTGTTCCTTATGTTAATTGTGTGATTCTAATGTTATGTGCTTAAACTGTACCATTAATATTAGTGAGTAAAGTGGTGTATGGATTTCATAACCATTATTTTACTAGAGACCGTTGTATTTAACCACAACGGGCACTGTTGCTAGTGCTTCAATAATTCATACCAAAGACATCAGTTATAAGGCAATACCTTGAATATTTTAACATTAAAATAAAGATCCTTATGTCGCCCAATAGGCCTACATTCAGAAACATCGCAATATTTGAAAGTACTGTAATATTATCAACATATCAACTGTTTTTTATTTACCTGTCTTCGGGTGTACGTGCCAAGTATTCTCGTTCAATCAGCCCTTCTATCCGTTTCTTAATAATTACAGGGGAAGGCATGAATCTACACTTCAGTTGTTCTGTTACTTCTGTCACCAGGATGTTGTGCTGAAAAAATAGAAGGATTAGTCGATTTGATATCAGTACACAATTGATTAATCAAGGACAAACTGGTTAGTCCAAGTATGTAATAACATAGCTCAAAAAGTAAAAAAAAAACTTACCTTGAGATTAAAAATACACTTGAGATTTTTTATTGAAATGTTGAACACTTAAACACTGCAATAAGAGATATGATGTAAAGGTTTCCACTGTTGGATCCATCATATTAAGTGTAGAAACAAATTAAAAATAATACTTGATGGGTTACATTTGCTTATTCCATAAAAGAATCACGTATATAAAAATTCTTTTGTAACTTAGCAGATTTAGACAGCAAAATGGCTATATTTGAAGATCAGATTTAATTCTATTCATAAAATCTTTAGCTAAAAATATACTCACAGGCATCTTCTTTCTAGCTTTCATTATTCTAACGATAGCGGCTTCAATTTCATGTTTACGATCATCATCAACTTTACTTCTCGTTTCTCGTCTTTCGGGTTCTGACTCTCCTTTGGCTGCAACTGTTTGAATTTTTACTCTGCAAACAAATAAAAAATAAATAAAAATTGTCCATTAATGAATGTCATTAAAACACTGCTACAACAACTTGGAACGCAGACAGAAACAAAATAAGAAATATATTAACTTCAAATACAAACAGATAATTGTAATGACGAACTTAAAATGGAAGATAATGTAAAAGTTGGTACATTAAATGCGTTTACACATTAGCAAAATTTTAATTATTTTTCCTACAGTTACCTAACAATGTGTTCTCTCACTGATTTGAGAAAGCAAAGTGGCCAATTCGCTCATCAGTGAGACAATGTTACTCCAGATTTGCAACGTGAAGGCACAAAATAGTGAGCGCGTAACATGCAGACAAGGTTGTATGCGCGCGATCAGTGACCTTGACTGCTGTAACTATTTATATATGTCTTTGTCTTGCAAGCAACAAATTTATAAGAGACAACCACCGTTGCAATTTAACGGTACCAGTAGCACTATTTTTTTTTATTGTAAGGCTATTTTTCCCACAGAAAAGTCTACTGTATAAACTATGATACTGGGCAATACCTGTGAAGCTTGGATGTGAATGTGTCGTTGACGTAGAACACATGACTCGCATCCATCTCCTTGGATTTAGGATTCTTGATAAGGATTCTCTGAGAAGCCTTGCCTAGAGCCAGTGACTGCAAGGCTCGGACTAAGTCTCTCTCAGGTATGTCAGTCTCGTTTTGTAACTCCTGTAACCGCAACAACAAGTATGATGTTAAAAGTTGCAGCAAGTTTTGTAGTAGAGATCCCTCTTGTTTGACATCTTAGGACCAAACTCTTGTCCGAATCGAAAAAAAATCCAAATGACTAAAAGTTACTATAACGATAAACGGATGCCCCTCAAACCATTCATAATGTGGGAACAATTTGTAAACTCTAGTCACAGTAAACTACTAATGAATAGAAAATACAGTAGAAATCCAACGATCCGAATCAAATTGGACTATACTACATTCCGATAATCAAGAGCTAGGATGATTAAATTTTTATCGATATTTAGCGCATTGTATGAAAAATTGGCCGAATAGAACCTAGATTTTACACAGCATGTTTGCAAAGATTTCGCAATTGAAAAGTTCACGCTTTTGTCTCGATTTTGGAGGACGATGATTATTTTCCGTGATCGCAGGAGTCATAACAGTGAGAATAAAGTAAAGTCTTCAAAATTGTAGATATCAGGCCCCCAAGTGGTTTTTGACCTCAAAAAAGTAGGAAAAGTAGGACTTTTTCAGCAAAAGTAGGACTTTTTACTGAAAAGTAGGACTTAATTTTACATACAAATCAAACTTTTTTGCTGATACAATATATATTAAAAACCAAATAATACAGGGTGGCGCAGATGGATCGGGTGGTTTTAAAATATTTGTCAAACTGCCAATTTTAAAGGTATTGGATTGAAATAAAGTGTAAAACGTGTAGTTACAATGGAAGTTTATTGAAAAAAAAATTAGTTAAGTTTTTAAAAATTATATCCATCAAATGCCTTCCTTCTCGAGCGACGCATTCTTGGAGTCGGACCTAGAGGTTCCGCATTGCTCGCTCAAGCACATCACCAGGAATTGATGTGATTTCGTTGTGAATTGCAGCCTTCAACTCCTGAAGCAAGGGTCTACATGAACAAACCCCGGACCATTCAGGAGTTGAAGGCTGCAATTTACAACGAAATCACATCAATTCCTGGTGATGTGCTTGAGCGAGAAATGCGGAACCTCGAAGACCGACTCCAAGAATGCGTCGCTCGAGAAGGAAGGCATTTAATTGATATAATTTTTAAAAACTAACTTAACTAATTTTTTGTCAATAAACTTCCATTGTAACTACACGTTTTACACTTTATTTCAATCCAATACCTTTAAAATTGACAGTTTGACAAGTATTTTAAAACCACCCAATCCATCTGCGCCACCCTGTACTAGCATACACAATAGTTTATCAAATATAATAGTGTATATAAATATACAGGGGGTTTCCAAATTGTCTGGACATATTTTGTGGACTTGTTTCTGGGGCTAAGACAAACATAAAATTCCATAAGTATGCACGGGTCTAAAATGCCTAAATTTTTGTTGGTCAGTCTGTTTGTGACATTTAAAAATTATTTTATATCTTGGGCATTTTTCAAGATAGAACTTTTTAAATGGTTATAAATGTGTATTTTAGAAGGTGAAAAGAGCTTGCAAAGTTTCGATCCAATATCTCAAGCCGTTTCAATATGGCAGCCATTTAAAATCTTTAATGCCAAATTTCATGAAAACCGTAAATATTTAGAAAATGGTTTCCAGGATCAAAAAGATAGAGAATTCAAATCCAAATCAAATGAGACCTTGTTTGTAAAATCGGATGACAAACAACCATAAATAAGTTTTTTTTCAACATTCGGTTACGCAATTTAATAGCACTACCATACTGTATTCTTATTTGTTATTTTTCAGAGCAGTATGGGTAGTCCTATTAAATTGCGTAAACAAATTTAGAAAAAACTGATTTGGTTGTTTGTCATCATCAGATTTTAAAAAACAAGGTCTCATTTGATTGGTATTTGAATTCTCTATCTTTTTGATCCAGGAAACTATATTCTAAATATTTACGGTTTCAAATTAAATTTGGCATTAAATATTTTAAATGGCTGCCATATTGAAACGGCTTGAGATATTGGATCGAAACTTTGCAAGCTCTTATCACCTTCTAAAATACACATTTATATCCATTTTAAAAGTTCTATCTTGAAAAATCCCCAAGATATAAAATAATTCTTAAAAATCACAAACAGACCGACAAATTAAAATCAAGGCATTTTAGACCCATACTTATATGGAATTTTATGTTTGTCTTAAGCTGGGTTTTCCTAGGCGCGGAAGCGTAGAGCGGAGAGAGGAACGCGGAGAGCGGAAAAGAAATTAACATGGTGTTCCTCTCCGCGTTCCTCTCTCCGCTTCCGCGCCTAGGAAAACCCGGCTTTAGCCAAAGAAAGAAGTCCACAAAATATGTCCAGACAATTTGGAAACATAACTAAAATGATTCTATACATAAATTTTAAAATTAAAATCAATAATTAATTATTTTTATTTAAAAAATCTTCAACTGAAAGGCCGGATAAAGTTTTAGCTGAGATTGTACACCAAATATTCAGAAGTAACGCACAAGAGAAATTAAAATGTTAAGGAGTCATTATCTACAGTCATCACGAAAAAATATTTAGGACAAGCAGCATTAAATAAAGGATAAAAATAAATATGTTTCCCTAACGTTAACCAGCCCTAATTTGTGTTTAAAATGGTGCTGTAAATAAGAAATTTGTTCTTTTTTTATATTATTTAATATTTCAGAACTAAAATAATATAAAAGTAAAACGAATTTTTTGGGTGGAAAACAGAAGCATGAAAAAGAATAGTTATTTAAGTAGGCCTATAAAGTACGGAACTAGATATAATATAAAATTCTAAAAATATGTTCCAAAAGTATTTTGAATTAATTAGATTAGAGCTATCTTAAAAGTAGTAGGAATGTTTGAATTGTAATGAGTAAAAACTATTTGAGCCAGTGAGACTTGGACATTTAAACTTGAACTTAAGCCTTAATTTATTTTGAATACAGTTATGTCAAAAAATCATGTTTAGGCTAATCAGGGAAACACTGGACCGATAAGTGCTAAAGTTTACTACTTTTGAACTAGTATCCCAGGGCTCCCCAGGAGCATTGATTTCCCCTCAGTTTACTTCATTGGGGAATCTAAAAGACATGTCAGAAAAGTAAGCACTGATAATAATCACAATTTTCATTTTCTATCACAATAGTATTGCCATGTCTTTGAAAAAAAAAATGTTTTCACCCAATAACAATGTTGATAAGATTAACCATACAGATACTACCGGTACTGGAACTTATAAATTAAAATTTAAAATCATTTAACAGATTGTTTTATAAAAAAAATATCTCAGTCCGTCATATTTTTTAGGAAAAAACTTCTCATTGGGACATATTGATAAGTAAACATTAATAATAAGTGTAATAAAATATCGCAAAATCGACATAATTTTTATAAAAAAGTAGGAAAGTAGGACAAATGTGTAAAAAGTAGGACTTTTCCTACTTTCCTACTAAAAAGTAGGAAAAGTAGGAAAAGTAGGACGACTTGGAGGCCTGAGATATTCAGGAATTTGCTAATATCACAAGAGCCAATGATGATGTTTCCATGACTGCCGGAGACGATGATGATGTCAAAACAACCGTGGGAGATGTTCAGGATGTTGCCTCGATCAAGGCTTCTGTCTTCTTTCATAACAATCCTTATTACTGTAACTTAGTTTTAGGGATTTAAAATTCTTTCTGTAAGCGATTCAGATAGTAGGGATTAGAGTTCCCCCTGTATATAGCCCCTGTATATTCCCTGTATGTATCCCCCTGTATATTCCCCCTTGTTTGTTTATAATATGGATTCGTGGGATGTGGAAATGGATCCATTCACTTTTGTACTAACTTATGATGATTACCTATGATTACTTAGGTCTTGATGATTAGTAGGTCTTTTGACTAAAAGCTATGTTGTTGTCGGGGATTGTTCAGGCTAGGCCTAGAGGTTGCAGCATTATCACTTATATAAAATCCTTTGGTGATTGGCAGGATCTGTAAACCTCGGGGACTGAAGTCTTGAGCTCTAACACTCGACCAGCTCTCTCCCTCTTTCAGCAGTACTAGGCTTACACGACAAAGTCTTATTTTGGTTCTAGCTGATGTTGTTTTTTACCTCATAAGTGAGTTTATCCCTGTTGTTGAACAGCATCAGTATACACATCTGGTATGTGGACACTTGGATGATATGTTTGCGAGGAGACGACGCTACATTGCGTGAGCCAGTAGACGAACTGGCTCCGTCCCTCCCCTCCCCCTCCTCTCTACGGATACCGAAGAACACAGCGTTCAAGTCCGACGACCCCAGCTGAGGCTGTAGCGTGAGTTGGCGGCCGCTGTGCTTGGCAAGGTAAAACCTGAAAATTGGTTGGACGTTTAGGATAAATCAGTTGACTTTGTTGACTATAATACATTAGTACGGACTCACAACTAATAACTACCCAAGAATATGCAAGTAATTGATAGAGACAAATTAAAACTGTGTGAGTAGGCCTGGGCTTTAAATATTTACAATTTGTTGACGAGGCAGTTAGACAAGAGCTATGAAATTTATTCAAATTCTCCTTGTCAATAGATCAGTTTAATGATGATGTTATTATTATTTGAAATGGAAATGCATTGAAGAGGGATTGACCTTTCAGAAAAAGGGCCGGACATGGCATTAACAAATAAACTCAAACTCCTTTGATCTATATATCTAATTCCGTAAGCCCAACATTTTACAATGAAATTGTGAGCGAACGGGAGGCCGTAGAAAGCTAGGAGAGGTCTCATTTTAAAGGTCTAAGCATGAAATTTTGGGGAAAATGATTTATTTTTCTTGATTATGAACCAAAAGGTTGTTGTTGGAATAAAATATTTACTTCTGAAAGATTCCCTTACAGAGATATGTGTTGAATACTTTTTTGTATGCTATTATGTGTGCCTAGTAATATTTCTTTAGGCGAGTTAGTTGTTATCCAATCATTGGGGTCCATCTTGTATCATGTATTCCTACTAAGCTTTACCACAGAGAAGTAAGATACAGAGGAAACATGCTTATGGAACAACCGTGCGCTTTTGGCTCTGTAATGGTGGGGCGAAAATATACTAGTACAGAAAAAAGAAGAGCTCGAACAGCTTTTGTTTACAACAGCAGTTGTAGTGCACAGGCTCTTCCTATAGAGTGAGGGCTGTAGTACGTGATGGTGAGGGGGAAGAGTAGAGCAGAAGGGGACAACCAATAGAATTTGCACTAGGCACAAGCGATTGGTGCTAGACATTACTTAAGTGTACCATTGAATGTTTTCTCTACGTATCTTACTTCACTATGGCTTTACATACCCCTCTGCCCAAAAGAACAAACTTCTTAGAAGTTTGTATTCACTGTCAGAACTGAATCATAACCCAGAACATTAGTGATTGTACCTTCGGAAGGCTTCAAACGCATTGCGAGGTGCTGATGGGATGCTGCACTTAGGGGTGGCACTCTGTGTTGGCCAGAAACCTGTCGTCAGCACTCTCACTGAGAGGTCCACTCCATATAGGTTGGCCTATACAAACAATAGTAATTAGGTTGATCACAACAAGGGTACTTTGGTATTATACCGACCACACCAATAAATTGACTTCCAAATAAGATTTTAATTATTTTAAATAACAAAATCTTCCTAAACTAACCTAACCTAAAACATAGTCCACCCTTAGGTTAGCTTAGGAAAGGTTAGGTTAGGTTATAATTATTAGACGTGCTTGGTATAATACCAAAGAACCACAAGAAGTTGCATGCATAAAGATTGATAGATTATCGAAAACATTGACAACAGTGGTACATGTGGCACATATTACTTGGACGAGCCAGAGTAAACAGAATAGAACTTAAAACTGAACATAGAAACTTGTTCTATTAGAAGGCAATGGCTTGGCAATGAAATATTGAATGTGATAAATGATGAAATTGGAAGATTTTTAACAATTTAAGTTTAGTTTAAAATTTACTCAATCAGCATAATTGGGACTACAGAAAGGGCCCAAATTGCCCTTAAAATGACCTATTGGCATTTGAACAGTTCCACTGGTGGCTCGATATATGATGTTTACTTAAAGCTACCTTAGGTGATAGGTAGGATTATAACCTGTGCCTACAAGACTATTCAACGCTGTAAACACGCAGGATTATAAGTCCCGCGCTCTAAACGCAAAAGCCTCTCTAGTGTTATTAGTACATTACATATCAATTAGGTCTTTCTGTGCTGTACATTTTTCTTACAGTGCTGGTTCAATGATGGACAATGTTAGAAATCATAAATGCACCTACCCCTGAAGTTAGGACGTGTTCTTTGAACTCTTCCATGATGGTATTTGATACTGTCATGTCTTTGAACATTCCCTCCAACTTGGAAGTGAATTGGCAACCGCATTCAGTCTGAAACAACAAATTCAAAATGAAATACACCAGGTCAGATCAGATGGTGATTAGTAAAAAGTAATGAAAATTACAATGAATTTACAACAGTAGACTCCAGATTATCCACACTAATGAGTGGCCGAATGATTGTAGATAGTCAAAATGATGAACTACGCAAAACTAACTTAAATTGCCTGGGATGTAACTAACATTGACCTTGAGTGTAGTTAAGCTTTAATACAGATTAAGATAATAATAAAACGTTTTTAATGCAGTGTCGATACCTATTGTCTTTTGTTTCACACACTTCTATTTGCAAAACAAATAACATTTTAGAGCCATAAGCCAAAGGCCTTGCAATGAAGAAAATGACAACACACACAAAATGTAACTTATCAATTCATTGGTTGTAATCAGTGACTCATCTGTGGTCGGTGAAGTAAACAATGGCAACTCTATAGTCTGCCCACGAGATTATGGACCTCCTCAGGCTGAACATCTTGGTAGTTGCTGTATAACCTACATACGAGTGTGGTTAGTCCTTAGCGTGGTTGATCCACTTGTAGATAGTCGAGAATCTACTGTATATTTTTTACCAATGACTAAAATCATTTGACTCCAGACAGTCCTCTCTAAGACAACAAAAATAACCTTAAAGACAAGTAGGTATGTGCATTTTTGCCAATAATCTGGCAATATTATGATGAATATCAGAGCGTTTTGATTGAATGCTTTATATTTTAACTATGTTGGTGAAGCTTAAACCTTTGACTAATAAATAGGCATCAAACAAAATCTAAAGTTAGTTTTGTGAAGTTTACGAACTAAATTTACACACTTACATCACCATTTCTCGTTAATGTTTCCAAACAAGAATTTATCTTATAATTTATCTACCTTTAACTTGGAAATCATGTTCTTTTCGCTGTCGTCACTGACAGATTTGTTTAGCAGAAGTCGCTTGGCCAGATGTTGCTTGTAATATCGTTCAAATACATCCTTCTCCTGTAGGAACCGGAACAGAACCATTGTCTTGTCCAACACTGTTTCTATTTCCTGTTCGGTCATCTGTAATAAAGAACAGAGTATTAGTGCAGCAGAGAAACTTAGTACTAATAAATTTCTTGACTTTTTCGGTCAATTAATACTTAAACATCTCAATTTATACTGATAAATCTAAATTACTTCATTAATGCAAATTTAATCGTAATTACTTCACAAAGAATAGGAGAGGACTGAGTAGGTCTCTCCTTAGTGTCTTCGTCATCCACAACAAAATTGTTTCAAACTTACCCCTTTAACTCCTTTCTTTAACTTGTCATCGATAAAGAGGGACAAGTATTCAGGAGACTTTGGATTCAAGTTCAAAAAGTATTCAAAGTCAGAAGCAATCATCTGCTTGAAGAGTTTGTCGTTGTTGAACGAATTGTGAAGAAAATGGTCTAGCCGATCTTTTAAATCCAGTAGGTTCTGAAATCAAAATCGGCATTTCAATTACTTTAGTCTGATTAATTGTATAAATCATGTACAATTAGTTTGTACACAATTTCTTTAACACCTTTTTACAGGGTTACCACTATTTGTCTTCAACAAAATTCACGGTGTTTTCACGGTTCTCACGGTCTGCTTTTATAAATTTCACGGTCTCCTAACAATGTACGTTATAATGACAAAACTATATGTAATGCCTTTTCTAACCAGTACACAAATAAGGTTCCGTAGCCGATTAATACAACATAATTATTAAATTTAACATTTGCTTGAATCTATAAATGCAGGAAAGCACAAGACAGTAAAATCCTTAAGGTCCATTCCATGAATAGAACATAATAATCGGCCAGCTGGCGCAGAGCGAAGAAAGATAAAAGAGATAGAGCAGATGAATTAAGACAGAGTTGTGGTGTTGAGAGGGATGGTAGGGGAGAATGAGGGGACAACACATTTGAGGTTGAGGGGACAGAAAGGGAGGTGGGGAGAGAGCCCGAGGGGGAGGAGAGAGAGATAGAGACGTCATTCATAGCCGTCTCTAGTATACTAAAGACGGATATGCATCATTCCACTCACTGCTGGAAAACAACCATAAGGAAGAATATTTTAGAACAACAAGTTAACACAAACTTTTTTATCATGCCTACATTAATGAACGAAATGAATAATTAATACAAGTATTGTAAGTACAGTATTCTCGAATCTTCGAATTCTGAGTCCAAACAATAATTACAAATGGGTTTTATATGGTGACTAGCTGTGTACCCGTTCTACGCACGGGGATCTTATAATATTCAGTTGAAACCTTCTTATATAACGAACAGCAGTTGGTTTGCATATTTTAAGATATGCTGGCCAAACTATTATACATAGCTTCATTTTATGTTGTTTTTTGTTGTTCCGGATCGGTATGACAATCAATAAAAGGTTAAATTACCTCTGTGTCTGCCGGTCGATCCTATAACGGTAGGCTTACTTTTATTTTTACTATCTGATCTCGTTTGCATGGCTCAATCACGTCCTGGTTGAAGTTCGTTCGCTACGCTCACTCACCTGTATGTTGGAGCTCGTTCGCTGCGCTCACTTTCCTTCAGGTTAGCTCGTTCGCTACGCTCACTTGCCTTCAGGTTAGCTCGTTCGCTACGCTCACTCGCCTCCAGGTTGCAAATTAGCTGTTGTCATAAATGTAAAAGAAATAATAGTGCTAGTGCTGCACCCTGTTGGTAATCCTTGTAACTTTAATGCTATTGAACATCACAGAACAGAACCAACTTGTTTAATTGAAACAGCTGTTAAGATTCAATAATTTCATTTCTCATAAGGTTAACATGGGCTTCCAGAAATTCCACGTCAAAAATCGACAAAAACTTGATTTTCAAGGGTTTACTGTTAAATATCTAACTGTCTCATATTCGATGAAATACGTCTAAAACCATCTCATATATGTATAGTATTTGGAAAATAAGTTTCAGGCGGGACAGTGCTATAGTTATTGAGGAGTAGTTGTAATAAAGTGCGTATTTTAGCGTTACCAAGAGAATGACAGATAGACAGACAGACAGACAGACAGACAGACAGACAGAAATTGAGATAAGGTTTGATTCGGTTTCTCTGACCTATGAAATGTAAAAATAACCAAAAAGTTCATTATTCTAAGCAATGTACAGACAAAACTCTAATTTTATTTATATAGATTAAAAAAGCAAGAATGGAATAGAAAGCATTTAAAAAATAAATATTATACCAACCATAAATGACTACGCTTTGCAATAGAAAGTTACGTCATTACTTTTGACACACGGCAAAATAACATACGACTAATCGGATACATCTTTTAATCTAAATCGAACGGTCGGTATCTATATAATTAATACGCTACATGAAACTTTGTCGGTTGATTTCCTCCGCCATTTCTTAACCGATTTTATCCATTGACGTCTCATTGGAAAGAGCGTGTCGCGTAGATTTGCAAACTGGCCTTACATTTTTTGAAAAAATCCCTTGGGCTCTGCCCCAGTGGCTTTGAAAGTTCCCATGTTATCCTTATGAAGAACATAATTGTTTACATTTTGATCAGCTGTATAATTTAATTGCTGTTATTTATTTTTGAATTCAATGAAATGCGTTGAGTACATTTATTTATTATTTGAGTTTGTGTAAACATAACCCCCAAGACGGATCGTGTTAGTATGGTTGTATCTTAAATTTGTGTATTTATCGCTGTTTTGTGTCGCTATGACGGATCGTGTTAGCATGATTGTAATTTAAATTTGTGCATTCATCGTTGTTTTGTGTAGCTATAATTTGTTTATTTGTTGTTTTTTTATGCCTCCGACGCGACGACAACGAAACATAAACAGGAGGCGTAATCGTGATAACGACCGCAGCTACAGAAACAGAACAGTGTGGTGCGTAATAGGCTTAACTCATCACAGTCAGCACCTGACCCTGGACAAACTCAACTATTAGGTTACAAATGCGCCCTTTAACACTACCCCAAAACGACTTTTCGCTCTCAATTAGTTCTCTATCATGACCTGTGTTGCCTGTACAGCGAGGCAGACCCAGAATGTATGAAGGAAAAAACCGGCCGGAATGCTTTAGGTTTATCAATAACGAAGATAAACATGGTCTGAGTTACAGTACACACCGGTAATCTTATTGAGTTGAGTCTTTTAAACACATTGTTAATATGACTGTTAGGTATTCGTTTTGAAATAATTCCTGTAATACTTTGCAATTGCTCGAATTCGAGCAACATGTACACTAGTACTTATTATACTTGTACTTTATTGTACTTGTTATACTTATTTGGACGGCAAATATTCATTATTGGTTATTTATGTTTGTTGTAGGTACACTTGTTAATTTTAGTTGTTGATCGATAGTATAGTCAATGACAGTTTACTCTGTTAGTAAAATTTTAAATAACATATTGAATTGTAGCTGCATAACATAAATATATAAAAAACATACTGAACTGTTTTGTTTATATATCAAAGGAAGTATTTTCTTGTATTTTATGTTTACTTCAGAATGAATGCATTATGAAAATAACACACACAAATGTTCTATATGAATAGTAAAATAATTTATTTTGATATTATGATAGGGAAAAGAAGCTAGTTTAATATTGAAACGTTACTTTTCCAAGTTAGAAACATATAAATGTATTATAATCTTTTTGAAGATACTCATTAATACCACTATAATGCCAATCTTTGGTTACGGTAATAAAATAACACCCAACCCATAACTATAAAAAAGACATGCAGATCAATGTTGTATCAAAAATCATCATAGAGCCGCACTGACTTAAAATACGTGAGCTTAACTAATACAAAAGTTAACTTTATTGAAATTATTTCATTCTTTTTAGAGCGTTTGAAGTCGGTTGTATTTTTTTACAAAAATAAATTCTAAATTCTTAAGATAATTCAGCGAAATTTTAGTTGATTACACTCCATGACATTTTTATTCTTGAAAATAACTAAACAAATGACTAGACCTTAAAAAGTTTGAAGTAAAAGTCTATTTAAAGAACCTCTACTTTTAGAACTATCTCTCCACCAGCATCAAACATCCCAAAAATATTTCATACGAAGGAGAACTAAAGCGATGTGAGTTAATGGGTGACAGCTTGTTAACCACTGGCAACAGTCTCCACTCTACACTTAAATAGTTTGTGTTCGTAAAAAGTACAACAAAACCTTACCATTTCTATGTTTTGTAAATATTATTTTTTCCTAAAGATTTTAACAACATTGATATGCTTTGTATGGATGAATTATTGATTCTCGATACTTTTTAACTTAGGATTCAATACCCTGGCATTTGCAAGGTCAAATTATGATCATGGCGACATTGTAAATATTTGGTCCCGTCTTTTCTCTTCACTCATGTGATGATATCACAAGATTCTTGTCTTGAATAAAATCAAAATATCATTCAAATCGTCATAAAAACTTCCCCGAATCTTGAAGCATAAATTATTTACTATTTCGAAAATTTAGTTCAATTTTAAATGCATTATACATTTCAAATATCAAAGCACCAATGAAAAAACTGCTTCATGAATTTATTTTAAATCTCACTCTAAGTAGAAGCGATGCAGCTTATTTTGGAACACCGTAAGGTTAGAGTTTACGCTTTACAAAAATATTTCAACATTAATTTTCAACTGTCTAACCTGAACGAAGTTTATTGCGTTGGTGCCTCCGTCTTCCTCTTGTACCAACATCTTGCCTTGCTCCTTGAGGTAATGACTGACACAATCGGACATCGTCTTTAGCCCGTCTAATACTCTACTGAACAACTTGTACATACAAGCCAGGTCTTCTGTCTTCTGGTTCTTCAGCATGTGTACTACGCCTGAATTCTCCATCTGAACACACCAAAAGGGGGTTAATTACACGCTCCAAACCATGTAACCGCTGAACTGTGATAGACTATATTGTTAATAGTCTAGGAGCTAGGCCAACTCCCGTGTGCACTTTAATGTGCCCTCAGTTTTGTTGCGGGGCTTTGTTTAACACCTTTGGGAGCTTAAAAAAATACTGGTCACATGGTCCAAATCATGGTCGTTTGGCCGCCATATTGGAAAATGGGCGCCAAAACGCTAGATTATTTGCTAATACGTATCTCCGCACCCAGTGGTCCGATTTTAATTTTCTAAAGCTCATTTTACTCCATTTGTGATTGCAAACAACTTTTGTATTTACACTTTTTTGCTAAACCCATTATTTATTGAGATTAATTAACATTTATAATATTTCCAGTAACGTTGTGGAAATAATTGTTGGTTAATGCGTCCATTCGTTCCAAAAGCTTAAAAGTATCGATAGCCCCAGTATTTCGCTCCGCTACTGTCGCTAGCGATATAAACTGTCAGCTGTTTACATGTCTGATTCATTGTTTACGGTTTCTTGTTTGTTTGTTTAGTTGGTAAAATATGGTTGGTTTTAGTGCAAGGTTATTTCTCACGTTTATAAACTGCGATGTGAATAAACTTTAAGTAGGTTTACTTACTATACTAAGTAGGTTTATTTACTTATACTTATCTTAAGTAAATAGTCCAATGTGAATAAAACATAAGTAATTTATTTTTTAAGTGTTTACTTTTTTCTATAAGTACCTATTTACTTTAAGCACACAAAGTTAATTTAATGTAAAATTATACTCACCTCTAAATAAGTATTTAATTTACTTAACAATTAGGTTTTACTTTACTCAATAGGTATTTACTTATAAATAAAGTTTATTCACATCTCAGAAAGAGTAGATAAACTTCAAGTGAAATAAGATGAGTGACACCGTGAATGTGGTCCACCATAGAAAGAGACGTAGAGACGTTGATGAAGACATTGACTTGTGCATTTTCTGTAAAAAAGTCAAACGTCCGTTGCAATTAAGTTCAAGCGAAAAAGGTATAAAAAACATTAAAAGTGCGACTGACGTTATTAAGGACGATGTGTTGAAAGGCATTAAAGATGAAAATAGCATAAAGTATTATTTAGCCTGCTACAGACCTTACATATTGAAAGAAAAATGATTTAAAGAAAGACAAGAAAAAGACACTCAGTTTCGGAGTGAACGATTTGAAGATAAGTCACTCAGTCTAATGCAACCAATTAAGAGACTAAAAAAAGAGTAGTAAACCCCATAATCCGTTAGAAGTGGACGTAAAGAATGAAACCGCCCATGCTCTGCGTTTAATTGACATTTCACGGTGTCGAGGATATGACATAAATCATCTTTTGTCCTATGAATTAACTTCTACATCTTTGTTTTTGACCAGAAATGGATTTCTGACAAAATCAGATAAATCGCAGCTGGTTCATGAACTTGAAAAAAGTTACAAACACCACCAAATTCCGAAACTCCTCAATCACCTGGCAAAGCAACAGTTATAGATTTTATGGCATTTGCAAGGAAGGTACCAACTAAATCTTTAAAACTGAAGACATATGAAGAATTGGTACGAAGCATTTGGAAAGCTATATCCCAAGCATCTTACAAAAGTGAACGCATCGATATTGTTTTCGACGTTTATAATGAAAAAAGTGTTAAAGGGTTTGAGAGGTCCAAGCGATCAAGGAAACAACCTGTAGAATATGGAGCCCCAAATGACAACACGCCACTTCCTGTGGATACTGACGCTTTCTGGGCCTCATCTAAAAACAAAGAATTGTTGCAAGCTTACTTTTTTGAATGGATATCCTGGAAAGAGGATTCATTCATTGCGTCTTCTATCATTTATCTCGGTGGTGTAGTAAAAGATGGTCAGCCAAGATGTTTTGCTATTGAAAACGGGATAGTTGAAGAAGAGCCTACTTTGGAACCCGAACATGAAGAAGCCAATGACAGGATCTTAAGCCATATTTCTCACATAACATTGTCTTCAAAATTAAGCAACTTAGTTATCTGTTCTACTGATACAGTAGTTTTTGTTAGTGCACTCTATCAATACCAACAGAAGTGGAAAAGCTTAGGACTTAAAGAGCTGTGGATTGCTTTTGGAGTAGGCAAAACATCGCGGTACATCCCACTTCACTCCTTTGAAGACAGAGTACCACTTACTGTTTTAACAGCTTTACCAGCCATTCACTCTTTAACCGGCTGCGACACTACAAGCAAGGTTAGTACGAAATTAGCAGCTTTAAAAACAGCTGAATCCTGTGCAGGAGACCTCTTGGTAGAGTTTGGAAAAGGGCCATTAAATGAGGACATGGAAAAAAAGCAGAAGAATTTTTGGTTCGAGCACTTTCTTCAAGTTCATCAACAATGGATAAATTGCGTTTTCATCAGTTCCATCACAAGAAACTACGAAACTTTCAAGATTTAGCACCAACCTCAAGATCTATCCGTCTTCATAAAAAAAGAAGCTACTTGCAATGTTACTAATGGATCCATGCTTTGGAACCATCTGAGAAACTTAATCCCTTGGACTATGGTTATGTTGAGGAAGGTGATTCTCTGATTCCACAAGTGACAGATGATCCAATGTTCCCTGAAGATTTCCCTAAGCCATGTAATTGCCAGACGTGTTTCAGAGAAACTGTATGTCCCTGTAGAAGATTGAAAGTAATGTGCTGTGACTTTTGTAAATGTAAGAGTAGTGTTTCAGACAATTGCAAGAACCCTCATACATAATTTTGCAATTCTTGTTCTTGATAAGATTTGAAACCCTAAGTTTTGGAAGACTATGTCTCTATATAACTTTTATCAGTAGGTAAATAGTAATGTCTCTATGTAAGTTAATAGTAAATATATATTTTAAACACACGTTTAAGTCTTTTAATATATTTTTAATTGATAGTTTTAAGCTTTTGTAACGAATGGACGCATTAACCAACAATTATTTCCACAACGTTCCAGGAAATATTATAAATGTTAATTTATCTCACTAATTAATGGGTTTAGCAAAAAAGTGTAAATACAAAAGTTGTTTGCAATCACATATGGAGTAAAATGAGCTTTAGAAAATTAAAATCGGACCACTGGGTGCGGAGATACGTATTAGCAAATAATCTAGCGTTTTGGCGGCCATTTTCCAATATGGCGGCCAAACGACCATGATTTGGACCACGTGACCAGTATTTTTTTAAGCTCCCAAAGGTGTTAAATAAAGCCCCGCAACAAAACTGAGGGCACATTAAAGTGCACACGGGAGTTGGCCTAGCTCCTAGACTATAACTAAAAGGATTGAATCAGATAGCTTTAGATCACTATTTAACTGGACGCGGAAAGAGTTTTTTTTAAAACAAATAAGGTTCAGCTAGCTTACGTTAGAAAATTAATTCCATGGTCTAATAGATTCACAATAAACTGGCACAAAACATTACACTGATATTTAGTCCTGAAGTAGAACTTATTCAGATAGTAAGTTGAAGAGAAATAATTATTTGTGTAACTGTTATTACTCGGAAAGTTTCTTGAGTGCTGCAAAGAGACTTTGCGCTCGTGTTATATACACATTAACTTATATTTTCCTTCGGTTACTATAGGCCTAAAGCATAAATAAATAATGGGTAATTGTATGTATATACAGGTTGTTAACTTTTTTGCAGTTTCGCAAATTAACAAATGCAAACCTATAACAAGCTTAGTTTACTTATCTAAGCTAGACACACATAAAAAAAAAACACATAACACAACAATAATATTTTGTTAGAATGTAGAAGTTTTTGTAGATCGAAGAAACCAGTGATTAAAATCTTTGATAGGCCTTTTTACCTCGACAATTGTTTTCATGTGTTTTTTGATCAGCTCCTCTTCTACGACTTCGACAATACGAGCTTCCGTAGACTCGTCTAAATAGTGCTTTGCTCTCTCAGCTTCTTCGTTTATTCTGCAATGACAGTATTTTTACAACAATGTTTTTAAAACCTTCTCAAAAACTAACAAACACAAAAATTTAACAGTACTGGTAACAGAAACAATTTTAAACTAACTTACCTAGCCTCCACCTTCTTGATGTAGACGGACGCACTGTTTTCTCCAAGAAACTTCTGGCTCTCCATCTGATAAAGACCAAATGCACATTTAGCTTGGTGTGTAAAATTTACAATAGGACTATGAAATATAGCAAAAATTAAATGTAGTGATAAATGCAGGAAAATGTGAAATGACCCATTAGGGAAGGCCTATATTTAGGTTGACAAAAGTGAAGAACAGTTTACACTGAGATATTACCCCAGATATATCTGCTTCTTTATATTTTAACTTGTATGCTAATGAGATTTAATTAAGTGAATGTCTGAATGAAAAGAGTAGCCTATAGTGAAAAAAGGAAAAGTACACCCTACAGTTAAACATTTTACCACCTGTATCACACTCTCAAATTTAGGGTGAATAAATGTGCTAAAACAAAGCAACTAAGATAAAAAACATCATTAAATTAATTAGCTCTTGGCTGGTTTATATAAAATGGAACTCCTAGTTCAAAATTTATCTCCACAACAGTTAACATTCAATCTGCTACTCACCCTGTAAAACTCTGCTGACTGGTGGAGGAAAGGCCTCTCAAAGTCCTCTTCGTAGACGGCTCGACTGTTAATGCCGAGAACCATCAACATCTGACTTGCGTTCTTGATGGCGATGCGGTCAACCACTTCCCCCCTCCTCTCTCTCATTACCAGACCCAACAATGTGTCTCTCAGATGATCTCTGATACATCCGTATCTCACCACCTGCGAAAAAAAAAATTCTCATGATAATGTAAAAAGAATCTACCCGGAACTTTTGGATATTGAACTAGATGTCTATAACATCAATATAACTCATTTGTCTATCAATCTCAAAATTCCTAATGATGATAGATTTTTGAACGAAAAAGGTGAAAGAAATACTTACTCTGGCTCACTAGCTCTCCAATATTCCATAAGACAACGTTTGAGAACGTTTAATACATCATTTATAGTAGCAGCTGTCGCTTTTGGAATTCCCTACCCTTCTCTATCAGAGAATCCCAGGCCCCCGTACTGTAATGTTTGTCTGCTCTGTACACATCCACACAATAAGTTACAGACAGACACACACTCGGACAGAAATCAATTCGAAAACCACTGTTTTAGGTTCAGGACTGATATATTCACTCAAAACTCAAACTTGAAAATTTTGATGAAAACAATACCTACTTTCTCCATATATTATGTATAATGGGGAGAAAGTAAAAAAGAATAATATTAATATATTGTAGGACTACCTCTAAAAGCATTCTGTTTTATCTTCACGAGTAAACGTATCGTTTCTGCAAGCCTAGCTTGTTAGCATTACAAAAACATGCAGGCCTAATTATAGAAAATAATTATTATAGAAAATAGATTTAGAGAAGACATAGTTTCTGTCATACATACTGAGTTTTATCATCTTAAGATTGTGTATGCTATAAATGGTTATAAATCATGTCTACATTATAGAAAAAAATAACAGGAGAATATTTATTTACCAAGTCTCTGAAGATGATGAGTCCTAGGTTATAGACGTTGTCCACATCGTTCTGCTGAACGTAGACCCGGTCCATGTACATCAGGATGTCTCTAATCATCACCATGGACGTCTGATGGTCGTTCCAAGCGTGGTTCAGTGTTTGGAGAAAATTGTTGTTTAAGGAAATCAATACGTCTTCTCGAACCTATCCACAAAATGTCCCATTCAATAAACTAGTATTTTAGGTCAAAATACTTTATAGATGCAGTCTAAGTGACAGTGGTAAGTTTTGATTTCCAAAGGTTTCTTTAAGGAAAACTTAATAAAAACAATACAGATAATTGTTAAACATTCTGTGCAATTTTGTAAGGCTACTAGCCTATATCACTCAAGTTAACTGTCAGTAGTAGTAACAGTTCATATCTATTCTCTTTAGCACTATTTACTGTTATTGCACAATCACCTCCACTGAGAAAGTTGTAGATTAAATAAGAAATACAGTGCTTAACTGTCCTCGAAACAAAGCAGATAGTCAGCCATGGATCAAAATAAATTCACTAAAAATAAAAAGTTCTTTTGAACATAATCACATCACATTTTAACGTAAAACTTAAAACTAGGCAACCTACCTTCATTTCTAGATGTTGCGTGACAACTTCCTTTAATCCTGTGTATAACCTCTCTCCATACTTGTGCAGAACCATAGTATATGCATTTCTGTAGAGTTCTTCAAAACTCAACCCAGAATTATTCTTCTTCTGAATCTCCTGGATTGCATTTTTTAAGAGGGACCAAATGCTTTCTACATACTTTTCATCCATTGACATCTGAAATAGGCACAGTAATTTTTGTTAAAAGCTATTATAAAACAGAATTAACAAAATAATTTGTTATATCCAAATAAGCTTAAGGCTACGCCATACTATGGTATGGGGGTTGTCAGTTGCCTTTTTATATTTGTTTTAGGATTGATTTAAGAAAATCAATCAGAGTCTAATCTGGATATAGATGTAATTTTTTCATCGGACTATCAATTGATGATGCTACATAAAACACAATATACCGACAATAGGTGATAACAAGACCAGGGTTAAGATGGTTTCCTTGCACAAACAGTAAAAAAAATATTAAAGGCCTTCAAAAATACAAAATCCAAAGGTTAATGATCTATTAATGTGGACAGCTTTTTTAAGTTCAAAGAAATTATATACCGGGTACTGGTAATGGTAAATTAAAAAAAATATATCCACGGGCATGTGTGGTTCATAAGATATTTGCCTAGGCCTAATCAAAAACATAAACTTAGGTCTCCACATAAAAAATCCAGGGACTGTTTTCAATCAACTTCAACTGGTCACTAAGGGCTGCAGACAGGGTTGTTTCTGTTCTGATGGTGGTTTGGACGAGTCCAAGTTCTAGCAGCAACTAACTTTTGAAGGGAAGGAAGGTGTGTGGACAAACAGCTGCTTACATGATGTGAATATATGATGCAAAACAAACAAAACCACTATACAATGACGTGTCTAACCTCACTCAACTGTGTATAATTTTTTGCAACTATTTAAAAAATTATTTTCCATTTATTGTGTTGATCCCACAAAGTTATTTCAATTAAGTAAAAAAAACAGTACCGGTAACAGGTTTGAGGTAACATAAATTAATAAGTCGGTTAATTACTTATAACAAACTTTTTAGCTAAACTTACCCCTACCTAATCTAGGCTAACCTAACTCCAAAACGCCTTGAACCTGCATGTGCATGTACTACCGGTACCATATGACGCTTGATGATCCCCTATTCTCTATTAGCATACACTGATATGTAATTTTGGTAGAACTACACTACTTGTTGTTTTGTTCGAACTGCATCTGTCCTTTGTTAATTATTGCAGAATTGTATACTGTATTTGTTGATCTATTCCTCATACTCACTTCAATACTTTTTGTCATTAATTTTAATTAGCCTATTGTTAATATTTATTAGGCTATTGTCAGGCTAACTAACTTAAGTTGTTGCTAGTTTTCTAATTATTTTTTTTCTTGTTGTCAATGTAGAGACCTAACTTTCTTACTGTAAAAAGTGGCTATGCCGTTGGGAAATAAATACGGTACCTAGGTAAAATACTTAAAATAGTTACTAACTTAGTTTGTAGGTTGATATAGGTATTAGTTAATTAGCATATCTTGCCATTGAATATTGCATCACAAAGCAATGTAACTTAAAGGGTTTCCAGTTGGAATAAGTTAAATATACATTCACAAATGGTTAGAACTGATTTTTAGCATGCAATTATCAACCATAGATTTAATTTCCTAATTCCTTTGCCCTTGTTTGGTAATCTTACCATCCTTATTCTCAATCAAATCAATCTTATTCTCTTCATCATCCTTCAAGCCTCTCATAATGCCCTAACCTCTTGTTCTGTCCAATTCACAACAGTATTGGAACAAAACAATCGAAAGTACTAATTGATGCATGAAATTGTGTGTCGAGGTTTTGTTTGTTAAGCATTGCATGTCAGCTTGCTCTTCACATGACATGCCTTCCTTGCTGCTAGAATTTATAGCCTAGGCCTACTAGCACAACCAACTAAGTTGTTAGTTGAAGCTCAGTGGTTAGTGCTCACCGGTTCGATCCTGAGAAATGTGTGTAGCCTTTAGATCGTTTGAAAATGAGACCAAGCTGTCCTTGGTCATTGGGCCTTGATCATAAATGGTCCTGACTAATGAAACTGCTGGTCTTAGTAACAACCGGTCTGAATAATCAATTTCAACAAAGCTGCACAAGGCATCACACTCCATTCTACACTCATCCTGCCTCACACATTGGGTTAAAAACCGGTACGCACTTAGGTGATGTCTCCCATTTTTTTATTTGATCAATTATCAATTGAGATGGGGATGTCACCAAGGTGTGTATTTTAACCCAAATAAGAGTGAAGGTTGACTTTGTTGCCTTGATGAGCTTTGTAAGTTAGCTGACTAAGATCAGCCGTGATACAAATGATATTAATAACCTAGGTGGCATAGGCCTACCCATCCCAAATGATAATAAGTTATAACTTACTTGGATTCGCCCAAACCACCATTCAAACTGCCTAATAACCCTTAAATTTGTAATCTTTAGGTTAATTTCATATCCCGGACACTCAGGATCAAACAGTGTTTAAGTTTATAACTCGCGTAAAAAAACAATTTTCAATCGGTAAAACATTTAACCCTAGATGGGTACAGTATTGTACATAAACTTAACGTAGGGCAAGTTATTTTTAGTGCCCCACCCCCTACCCTCTCAACTGACGCTACCCTCCTTCCAGCAGTAGGTACTCTCAGCAGTCATTTGCATTGTGATGCCTAAGTAACTTATATGTATAAAAATGAAAGTGGTCTGCCTTTTTTGATAGACTTCACTAGCGTAGGCCTAGGTATCCTATGTCTACAAACAAAGCTGGACTGAAGTTTACACATAGGCTAGCCTACCTCGAATTTAACTTAGGGCTACAAGACATTTAGGCCTAAGTAATAAAAATCTGTTCAAAGCCTTAACTTAGGCCTAGGGCCTATTTACCTACAAATGTTAAGTCCAGGATTTAAAACAAGGTCCTAACTTACTGGCTTACACAGGTAATATTTAAACACAGGCTCAAGCCTAAGTTAATTTTACATGGCCTTGATACAGGGCCTGCTGTAATGTAGGGCCTAATCTTAAGATAGGAAGCCTAAGATATGATTGTAAGCATTTTTAAGCTTAAATAATACAATATCAATGGGAATCGTTAGGCTATTGTAGGAATGAGGCAAATTTTGAAACATTTAGGCCTAGTCTGGGCTAATTGTGAAATTGGAGGCTCGATTGAAAAGGATGGTGGATTGTTCGTGATATATTTTAAATGAGAATAGAATTAGACTTACCGGGAATGCTCTGATCCGCATTTTGCCCTCTTTCTTTTGATGCCCGCTTTTCAACATTTTGAAGAGAAGAATTACAAACCAATTTATTCCCTTTCACTTCAATCTAGCTACCACTTCACCTCTACAGGCCAACTTCATACAAGAATTTAAGGCCTACGAATAACAACAATAGATTATCCTAAATCAAAGTAACGGAGCTGCATTTTGACACAAATTAATTACTTTCCCAATTACCGAGAATAGTTCAAGAACAGCATTGATTAATCATTAATTTATGGCAGATTTTGGTCACACAATATCTGCAGAATAAACTTGGACGAAAATACCATTACGGATTACCACGGACTATGGACACAGCAGCAGAGCAGCCAGCAGCTCAGCTCAGCAGCTAGATAAATTGCATAGCAGAAGCAGAACCAGCAGAAGAATTTCATTTTCATAAATACTGTATTCATACCAACGGTTATATTATAAAGCCTAATATATATATGGTTATGCATAATGGCTTGACATGATATTTGTGGATTTACATTTAATTATTTATATCAACGGTAAATTTCCAATAAATACAATCTATAATAAGATAAATAATATATTCTTTGGTAATTAAATATGACCAATAACAATAAATCGAATAAGCGTTTAAAATTATGCTTGGAGCTAAAAATTAGCCGTTTAGTGTTTACAGCATAGACGCTGTTATATTATATTAGGGCACTGTGTGGATATGAAGTGGTCCCACTCTATGCATGATGCCTCGTCCTCGTCACACCATGTCACCATGTCTAAGAAGTCCTCGCCTGCACTTGGTTGAGAGCGGTTTTTGAATGAGCCAATGAGCGGCCAGCGGCCTCGAATTCATCCCGAGAGGAGCCACAACCACCTCTAATCACTGAGCTATAATTCTAACTGGAGGTAGCACTGAATGTCAACGATGCGTGTCGCCAGCCGCCATGTTTGCGTGAGGTGTGAGTTATAAAGAAGCCATGTTATTGGATGAAAAAACTCTTTGCTATGCAAACCTAGTTATAGAAGCCATGTTATTGGATGAAAAAACCTGCTGCTATACCAACCTAACAAAATCAGCGACACGCTTTTGACAGACTTCTGCCATGGCAGTGCTACCTCCAGTTATAATTTTAGCTCAGTGCCTCTAATACACCACTACTGTAAGTGAAAGTGCACGACTTGTTTGCACGTGCTCCCTCTGCGGCCAGGAGGGGCCGCTGAATTTTTATTTCAGGATTAATATTGCCAACAGTGTCATTTGGAGGCTTCTGATTGGCTGAGGGAACACAGCCATTTTTAGTTTTATTTTATGAACATAACAATTTTTTAGATTATATCTTCATTCGATTTTTCTTTATCAGCAAGTTTGGTTAGTGTATGACAGTTTAATTTCATAAAAAAAAATAAAAAATTGAATTTGAGGCATTTATAATTTTATTTAATGAACAGAACTAATTTTTTCGATTAGTAAACCTTCATTATAGTCAATCAGAAGCCTCCAAATGACACTATTGGAAACATTAATCCTGAAATACAAATCGTGTGGAGGGGCCCCTACCACAGCCACGGCCACTTTTAACTCCAGGCTGCGGCCTGGTAGAATTGGCAACGTTGTAAGTGGTGTTGTCTGGCACCAGAACGCTAGACATCCCATAAGACAACATGGTAGACAGGTGATACCTCATTAATTTGCGTATTATTTATTTAAATTCATGAACATAAATGTATTAAAAGATTGAAAATAAAACTTAGAATTGATAACATAAACAATATTTAAATTGAAATCTATTTTTGTATATTTAAAGTGGAGTTAATATTTTCATAGTAGCCAAGCTTTCATATTATTAAAAATTACACAAATACCATTGACTACCTCCAAAACAAAACAGCTGTTACAACCCTACTTGTGATGTTGCTACTTCGAGGGCCGCGGCATGGAGTTAAAGGCGGCCGTGCCACAGCCCGGCGCTTGGCGATCTGCTACTACTACTATAATACTATACTATATTTAGTAGTAGTAGTCGTCCTAAAAATTCTGACTATGCCTATACTACTCCTACTCACAGCGGATGCGCAACACCACACAGCGCCTTTTACGGGCAGTTGCCATGATCCTAATCTGTTAGCCTTAACACTTTTTTAACCCACGACTCTTCCAATCATAAAATATTGTCATAAAATACTTTACGACATTAAGTAATAACTTACGACTTTCCTTTTATTAGTTTAGGGATATAAAATAAATAACTGCAAGCCATTAACCGTTTTACAGGGTGTTCGGAAAAGCCGTCCGATATTTTAAGGTGTTCTTATAATTTATTGCACATGATATTAAAATAAACAAAAAGTTTTCATAATTGATAATATCTACTAAAGCCTTATAGTTTTCTGTTTATAAATCTGTATATGTGTTTTTACATAAAATACACTATAAACTGAAATGAATGATTTATTTCCCATTAATCTTATCTTACTAATATTATAAATGTGAAAGTTTGTGTGTTTGTTTGAAGTTAATCGCGCATTACCTACTGGACGGATTGGGCTGAAATTTGGCATGATGATAGCTCACATTCCCGATTAACACATAGGCATATTCTGATCTCAAAAATACTTTCGGGCTCCGCCCCAGTGGCTCTGTAGTTCCCCATGTTAACCTTATGAGTATTCATATTTAAAGGGAATTAAAGAATTTAGTCAGCTGTTTCAACAAAAAAAGTTGGTTCTATAATATACAATAAAGCATTAAAAAGTTTTACCAACAGGGTGCAGCACTATATTTTTTCGCATTTATAAAAACAGCTAATTTGAATTAAGCAGCAACAAAAAACTGTGATACACAATGAGAACTAACTGTCAAAGTACATATTGTTTACAGTTATGTTTATGTTTTTAATTTCATGAATAGTTTGTGATATTTTGCAAATTTTTGATCATTCATTTTTTTCTATTAGGTGAAGTGGTAGAAAAGCAGCGGATATATCCGCCACCCGTCTTTGAAGATATGACCATGACAACGCTAGGCAATAAATAAAGAACAAAATGTCAACAATAAATAAAGACAACGTAGTGTTGAGCGCGAAACGTCGAGGGGGGAGCGTAGAAGAGGTGGGTGTTGCGCAGGAGTGGGTGCAGCCATGGAGAGAGCAGGAAAGTGGCGCCTTGGTACCGCGGAACATCTGGTTACTTACTGCTCAAGCACCTGCCAGTCTGTCTGAAGAGAAGGCGGATACATCCGCTTCCCGTCCAGAACATCAAAAACAATAAAAGGATATATCCACCGCTCGTCCTTTATCGCCAAAGACTTAGGCGGATATATCCGTCACCCGTCCGTGAAGGGTTAAGGTGTCCGGAGGCAAATGGAATTAGGCTGACTTCGCAGGGGATTGTGCTTAGTTAGTCGGGGGTATTTATTTACTTATCTGGTGGATTGTTTTTTGTTTGTTTTTCTGACATGTGTATATAACATGCTGCTGATAGTTCATTCAGTTATTCTTCCACTTTATCCTTTGCCTATCACCATCCGTTTCAATCGACCATAAGCATGAAGGGTCTAGGCTTAACTGGCAAGAGAGTACTTTTGACTTTTGTTACCATGCTGTATATTTTATTGGTTCTTATCAGAAATATCTTAGTCTAACAACTCAAAATCTTTGTGAGAGTTTATACACCAAAGGATGAACCAATGAACGACCCAGCCCGTCAAGATTCTGAATGGTCTTAATTTTCCAATGCTCTTTGAAACATCAATTTTATTCAAATTCAAACATATCACTTTATTTAAACTCATAGCTCTTCAGATACACATCACAAAAATAAACACATTGACATTATTTAATTGACCCTATTTATTGTATAACTTGTACTGTAAATGAATAAAGAGAATTTGCAAGATTACTAAATCAAAACCTGCACTCCTAACAAAGCCCAAAATTGTTAAGGGTGTTCATTTAGTTTTGAGAATGGACTATTAAAACTATTTTAAGGATGAGGAAGCTCCTATCCATTTTATCAGTAAAAACGCTGTACATTACTTGCAAACAAACATGATTCTTAACCAATAAAACCCTTTAAGAATGAATATATGATAATCTCATGCCTTACAGCACAGCTCTAGAAAAGTGCTTTACGAGCAAATAAAAAAAATCTATGATCTAATTTCTAAAGATTTTTATTTCAGGTGGTTAAGGATTGTTTGGAAAGAAAATACCATGCCAAAATTGTGATCAAGTGCTTTATTAAAAATATAAAACAATAAATAAAATTGTTACAATACATTTTAAAAATATAAGCTGATTCTCTGTGTAAAAAGAGACTCATTTGGACGGAGTAAATCTGTAAAAACTATAATACTAAGTTTCTAATTCTAAGGTACATAAAAATAGTTAATAACAATACGTTACACAAAGTCCAAAAGCTCGTGAACAATAGGTATTTTACATTTTGAAAGAGTTTTATTTTTTCTTTATAAAACAGTGTTATCTTGAAAAATCTAACACAATGTAATACTATACACTAATGATATATCTACAGTGTTTAAGTGTATGGTAGGCCTACTTATCAAAAAGAAAACGTATCTACTTTGAGAGGTTGAAAAGAAATGTATGAATAGTTAAAAACTTTAAATTAACATTTTACCATACAAAAAGGAAAAGTAAATAATCTGATATGTTCCTGTAATTAGTTGATAGTTTTCATCCTTCTAAAAAATCTAGCAATTTACCACGTCATTTTAAACAGGCAACATTTAATGACCTTTATTTCCATAATGTTAACATTATATTAAAAACATTGGTATAGTACGATATAAATGAGCCAGCACTAACATGTTGACAAGGGCATACTATAACAATAAAAAAAACATAATTTATGTACAGTACAGTAAAATAGCTTCTCAATTCATTAACTTGATTTGAAATATCTTAAATAAGGAAGGCTTACTTGAATGGGGCCTAAAGCTCTCTTACTTAAAGGGTCTAAAGGCCTGCAGCTCTCTCTTCCCATGTTGAAAATTAATGCTGTCAGTGACAGTGTAATAATCTTGTTTTGATATAAAGTTTTTTGCTCTTGTGCCAGTTTGGACTCTTTCTCATTCAAGTAAGCCTGCCATCCTCACTAAAATTCTAAAAGCTTAGGTTCCTGTGCTCAATGTTACATTCTTAATATAAAGTATATTTAAGCAAAAAAGAAAACTACTATAAATAAAACAAAAATAAGCACTCATAAAGGACGGAAGAAAAAGCGCCTAATAATAATCAAACAACATAGTAACTATTTGTTAAAGTTGAAAGTCAATGATAATGATGAAATTAATAAATTTGTTTACAGAACTGAACAAACAAAAACCGATTAAGTTGGAAAAGCATCTATTTTCTAAAAACTATCAATATTAATAACAAGTGCACTGTGACTCTTTTACAGATGACCTATTAATTCTCCAAAAATAGCTTTCAAAAAAGACTAATCAAACCTTTACACACATTCTCATTAAAGTCAACTTAACAAATATTGTATTTGTATTATAAATCAATACTTACATACATAAATATTACAGTACATTATTAACTGAAAATGTGCGAAAAAGTAGCATTTATCAAAATGCTGCAATAAATATACATATAGCATTCTAGACTAAAACTTAACAATACATTTGCTAAACAATGCTAACATGAGAAAAATACAAATAAAATTTACTGAATAGCTACCTGAACACACATACTTAAAATTTATACAAAAGTATAAACACAATATTTTTACCTAATCCGACCACATAATACCATTTATGATGTTAGAGTCTGTGATTTAACGTGATAAATATAACATGTAACAGCTTTGAAAAGCTTGTAATTTTAACATTTACGTTGCTTAGAATAATAAATAGAAGGCATTGTGTGATAAACATATTTTCAAGAAAATTCTTAAATGGAAAGCCAGAGCTAAATGGTCAGAAGAAACGGAAAAAAAATTGGTAAAAATGTGAATTCAAGGTAATTTTTATTAGACTATTGAAAAGCATAAATAACATTAAAACTTTTAAAAACCGAACACAATTCACCCAGCACAAACCGGTTTTGAATATCACACAAATACCAACTAACAAAATATGTGTGAGACACTCAAACAACATAAGCGACAGGCAAAGAATCATAGCCGAGCTAAAATATGTGAATATTTTATAGTATACTGAACTACAATGTTATTTTGACTGCATTTTTATAAAACATGATTTTTCAACTTTAAACTAGATTTTGTATGTTAGAGATTACAAGAGTACACATTTTATTAATTTGTGGAAATATTTGTTAAACTTGTACCCACTTAGATTTGCCATCAATTAAATACTGCATTGCTTATAAAGAAGTAATTTAAACAGAGGGCGTTATCCTTATAATTTAGTTTGACACATCACACTTTTATTTAGAACTGTATTCAGTAATAACTCCTTGAAAAAAAAAAATCATATGAAGTCTATTTTTTTACTCATTTGTGACTAAAAAAATGTATGAAGGCCAGTTACCACAAATTCTTTTCCATAATCACTTACATGTGAAATTCAATTTAACAGTAAAAATTAAGTTCATAATACAGTAAAACCCTGCTAGTCCGATATTGGCTAGTCTTGATTCCTCATTTAATCCGACCGTGCCATCGCCTAACAGTTACAATGCTATTGCAGTAATATCGTGACCATTTTCTTTTGGTCGTATCATCACCGTCTCCCATAAAGTTAGCGAAAAAGTTATTTTTCCACCACGGTCACACAAACATTGTCATCTCTTTCTGCAATTGTGGCTAAATATAGGGAACATTAACATCGTTTTTGGCAATCGCGGAAAAATCTTGAACATGCTACTCCTTGGATAGGTAGTCCAACCTTTTCACTGCTCCATACACGGTCCTGGACCTGTAGGTGACGGATTAGCAGAGTTGTACTACTGTAGTGTGACAGATGGTTCTTAACTTGTATACTTATCAACTATCACTTTAATTTAATGTACAAAATTCAACATGTTGTTAATTTTCAATCCAACATAGCATGTTAGCTGAAGAGATTGATAATAACTCTATTATTATTACTGGAATAAAAATATTGATTCTTGATAATGGAAAATAGTACAAAATTAACTACATTTCTTTAGATGTTTTGAGAGTTTGAACAAATCAGTACTAAATAACTCACAAGATTCAAACTGTTCAGTAAACCCAATTCACAGGAACCCATTGGTGTTCGGTGCTGAGATTGTCCAGGGTTTCAACCACTTCTCGGAAAGTCTGGTCAAAGTCCTCATTGACGATCACCAAGTCAATGTACTTCTCGTAGGCCCTCTGTAAACTGCAGCTCTCTTCTACAGTTCGACGCAAATCGTCTTCCTGGGAAGTAAAGTGTGATATAGAAAAAGTCTTGATAAAGTGTATTTTGTTAAAGGGATTTTTCAAACCTACAAAACAGTTGGTGAAAGTAAACATCTGCTTTTAAATTATATTTATTTGTAAACATTGTAGTTCAAAAATTCTGACATTGGACCCCTTAAAACCCTTTGGGGCGGAAGAGCCCTTCTGACGGATTTGCACCAAACTTCACACAAGCCATCTTTGAATAATGTAGGATAATGCCTGAAAGTTTCATTACAATCTGACGAGCGGATTCGGAGTCCATTGAGTATATACACTGCATACATACATAATACATGCATACTTACTTCCTCTTTTATATATATAGATGTTGAATATCTGAACTTTTTAACCAAGTTAAACTGATAGAACAACTTATTGTAAGCTTCAACATTTGTTTTGTGCCAGGAACTATATCAGTAGAACAATAAGGACAAAACTAAGGTATAAGGATGTCTATTTCAGTCTCCAAAAGTCAATGGTTAAAGTTACAATTACTGCTAAGTGTTTACCTCATACAGTGATGCAAGTGATTCCAGTGTTCGAGCTCTTCTTGAACTGTAGCGGATGGAGCTTTGTCTGTCAAACTGAACAAACACAAACATGCATGAAACAACATCAATCAAACAAAAGTACACAACTTAAAAGGTAAAACAGCCTAAAAAAGTATAGAGCATAACGGTAAAATATCAAACACAATTTTTTGTCAAAGATCAAGAGTAAAACATAAGCATCCGACCATTTACCACTTAAACAAATTTAACGCAAAGTTAATAAAGTTGAATTATTTCTACTTGTATGTACCTTTAGATTTATGTTTGATAAGATGAAAATATGGTAAAAGGTGGGAAAAGATATTTAATATTGACTATTTTGTAATAGATTTTAACAAAGATTTGACATGAGAATTTCAATTTAAATATCACAAAAGTATTTAGGAAACCTTAGTTTAGCTGCCAATCAATTCTAGTAGTTCTATTTAGGCTACTGGTTTTAAATCGCTCAACAGGAAAATGTTTTCTACTAATTTATTACATTTGCTTTAAGTGATTTAAAGGCTGACAAAATGTAATAATAAAATGTTAAGATATGTACTAGTTAGAGTACAAAATTTAGGTAATCATGTTTAAAAGCTTAGTGTTATAAAGTTAAAATAGATTTTTTGAAAATGTAATCGACAATAATGAAGTAAACTAATCAGCGTTGGGCAATTCTTTACCAAGTTAAAATTACAAAACCAAATAATCATACACATGCACATGAATGAAAAAAGACTATACGAACATAACCATTCAAGGATATAATTTAATTCTTACAACAGTCTTACTGAATCAAAAATCATTATTTCCATGAAGTTACCACAAATTTGAAACTGTTACGTTAGCTTTTATCTTGCACCAGCTTATAAAGACTAATGACAATTTCAACCCGCATGCAATATCACAATGCAGTTTATTTCCATTAATGTTACGGTAGAGGACACTTACAGTCAAATTACGAGATGATGTTCCGGTCGATCGGTTGAAATTGTACAACTGCTTCAGCAACTCCATCCCAGGAGCTGCAATGAAGATGACGAAAGGCATAAACTCAGACGAGTTGTGGAGCATCTTGAGAGCCTACAACATAGGAATCATGAATAGGGAGTTGTATTTTTTAATAGTTGTAATCTTTGACACTATCCAAATGTTGTATCATTTATACTTCTCAATAAATAAATTGAAAAAGAAATACAAAATGTCAGACTTGGCTTGAGGAATAGTTGATCTAATAATAATTACATATAACTGACGTCACAGCAATTTTTAAGATCCCAAAATAACTAAAGTAGTGTTTTTCTGTGTGAATCCGGACGATAGTGTTTATACATAATCACAAATCCATTGTTATAGTAAGATAAGTAGCTGCCACAATGACCTTTTGAATTCACCTTAGCGCTTGTCTTTTATTTATTCTAGGTAAGACTTTTTGTTGCTGTGTGCGTCCAGCAGATATTTTTTTCTAAAACCTCTCAATTCATGAGAGATTCAGATATCATGTGAAATGATTTACAGTTTATCATATTTAAATGTCATAAGATTCAAAGATATACTAGTCAGTTGTATCCTACCGCAGGGCTACAATCCAGGATACACATCTTCCCCTGACGTATGACATCCCGGATGGTATCCAGAGAGGTCCCGTACAGATGTCCGTTGTGCTCGCCATACTCCAGGAACTTGTGTTCCCGAATATCCCTCTCCATGCTCTCCCGGTCGCTGAACCAATAGTTCTCTCCGTTCTCCTCCAACTCTCTCTGCGGCCGAGATGTCACTGGAACACCAGTTGTGGTTAGTTAGGTATATTACAAATAAACAATGTTGTTTCAACTGTTCTATGGATCAAAAATAATTAGAATTTGGCTTTAGTAACAGAATCTAGTGTAAAACTCCCAACCTGACTGATAAAACTTCAAAGGTATTCAAACATATTTATACATTGAAGATGAAAATAAATGTAATAGATTTTTAATGGTGATCCTTTTATTAACTTCCCAAGACTAAGTCACATCACAGAGAAGATATAGAGGAAAAATTCAATGGTACATTTAAGTGGTGTCTATGGCAAAGTTCAACATCAACCCCCTTCGCTTTCATGTACAACAACGCTCACGGTGGAGGAAAACCTTGTGCAATAGGAATTTTTGCAGGGTGCTCACCGCTAGGGTTCTTCCTTGCACGTTACAAATATATTTTCATCACTCCTCGCCGAAAGTAACTATTTTGATAGCAGCTGTCATCAATGAAAGTAGCCGTTTCCCAAGCTCAAATTTAGGGCGAGGGAAAATCGATCAGCTGATTTTCCCTCGCTCTCGATTAGTTCTCCATTTACTCACTACGTGCGCTAGAGTTTTGTTACGGTTTAATTTAATGATTTGAAACAGCTGTTTTTATTGTTGCATAATCTAAATCTATCTATACAGAAACAGGCATTTGTTTGTTTAGTGCATGTTTGAAATTGCTCAAAGTATGTCTAACATTACTGATGATTTGATGAAAATAGCTTCACATTTCACCGGATAAATCACGGGAAGGATAAGAAGAGGAATACAGAAAGCTTAGACACTGGTAGAAAATACAAAATGTTAAGTTAATTAACGTAAGTGAAGATGTATTTATTAATGCACTTATCTAAATAATCTACAAATTATGAAACCATATATGTAAGTTGTGAAGTGTATTTTCAATGTTAAATAGTGGTCTGAAACTTTTTTAATACTACTGAGATGTGTTATTCTGCGTGTGTGTATTTTTGCATCCTGATGAAAAGTATTGTTCATAACTCGTACCAAAAGCTTTTTTCCGACACTTGCTCCATTATTCCCGTCCTCGGCTTTGCCTCGCACGTGAAATTTGGTTTTCCTGTGTTCGGATTTGCCTCACACATGAAACTTGAGCGTGCGTCGGAAAATGCTGCTTTCGGTCCTAGTAATGAAATATACTATTCCATCCAGTACAACATACTAGAGCTGAAAGCGCACGGTTCTCCCATAAGAAAGGTTTCTCTGTACCTTACATCTCTCTGGTCACATTTAAACATCTATGATTAGTACTTGTGTAACCATTGAGAAGATCTGTTGCATTTATATTATGATAACTTTTATTGACTTTAAGATTTTTTTCAAAGGCTTTGATTGTTAATAATCAGAGGTTTTATTTTCTGAGTAAAGTCAATAGTTTTTGATGGTTCAAAACCTATACTGAACATGGCTGTCCTTGGTCATCGCACTTTCATAAATGGTCCTAACTATAGAAACGGCTGATCTTAGTCAGGAACAACGCTTCACAAATCTCCCTCCATTGAAAACTTAAATTGAATAAGGAGATGGAATAGTTCCCAAGATTTATCTGACTACAAAGTAATAACCCTGACTTTTGGAACCATTCCTTAAGTAAACACTATTTAGATGACTCGAAATAAACCATAACCTACTACATGGTTAATGAACTCACTTGGAATGACAGCAGCAAACTTGTCCGGGTCGCTGTTGATCAGTCTATTCTTGAGTGTGCGCCGACCGACGCCGTGTGTGCCGACGAGCGCCAGCGTTCGCCGCTTGAATGGCGGCATCCTTGTCACCTCCTCATACAGCAACAGCTCTGCCTTGTCAAACTCACTGTTCATTTTAGACTCGTACATCTGCTTGCGTTTCTTTTTTGAAATCTGAAATTTTTTGCTTGATGAGGATTGACTTGGTTTTAAGATCACATAATCATTGTACAAATCATCCAAGTTTTGACTAAAAACCTCTATAGATCAACTTTATTGGACACTCTTCTGTTGTGCCCACCAAATCAGGGTTTTTCTGCTATATCCATTATACCAGGTTAGGTTAGGTTATTTGTATATTCAAAAATACACTTTCATTTAAAATGTTTGGTTACTTAACCTAACCTAACCTGGTGTGGTCGGTATAACAGAAGAATACCCATTACTGAATATAATCATGTAACATAAGTTACCGATAGGAACATTTCCCCTATAAATCATAATCGCATAATCGATTCTCACTTACTCTAGTTCCGCAAATGCTGATCTTGTGTACAAAGTCCGCCTCTGGTTTGACAAAAGCTTTCCTCCGCTCTTCCAGTTCCTGTGAAGGCACCAGTCCTGCGGGTCCGTCCTGTCCCACCTTCTTGGCTTGCCACCAGTTGGGGTCTTTCGTATTCATGATCTGTCAACACAGTGAAAGTGAGGTATTTCAACTATTCAACTATTTCAACATTTTGAAAACCAACACCTTGTTTCTTGAGATTTGAAACTGAACGTTTTATTGAACTTCTTATTTTTCCCCAAAAATAGGGTTAAAACAACAAATACAAAAATTATGTAATATAGTTAACTCCCTATTATCTACAATGATGTGTTAACCAGGATCACAAAATATCAAAATAAAAAATTATTGATGCAAGTTAAATGTATGTTATACAGCAACGACCAAGATGTTTAGTGTGAGGTGACCAATCATTTTGCAGGTAGGCTATAGAGTTACCATTGTTTATTCACCGACCACCAATGAGTCATGAGTTACGGAACCAATGAGTTAAATGTTCATTCCCCAAATGCCATTTTGTGAATAAAAATGTTTGAAACAAAGTTCAAGGTATCTTGCATTTAAAACGTTTTAATTATATAACTTACACCTGTAGCCTATTTATGCTTAGCTATGCATTCAAAGTCTATGTTAGTTATTTCTGGGGCATCCTTAGTTAGGTTTGCATAATTTACGACCACTCAGCCACTAATAATTATGGATTATCAGGAGACTACTGTATTAAATATTCTGGTTTGTTTTGTGTTTTAAGTATAAGGATAGACCTATTCAAATAAGCCAATCATCCCACCAACAACCCTTAAAGGAAAATGTATTTATGAACAACCCCCTACATCCAATTGTGGACCTACACCAATAACATTCTGTGGGTGATGCAGAGACAAGTTTAACAATGTGACTTACTTGTAGAATGTCTCCATGTTGGAAGGCCAGTCCGATTTCACGACAAGGTAGTAATGTGTCTTCTTTCGGATCATAATCAAACAAAGCTCTCATGTAGCACTGGAACAGATAAAGCGGATGAATTAAAGCACTACAAAAATTATAATAGCTCTCTGATCTTAAATATTTTGGTGAAGTGATTAACAAAACTCTTTAGAACCAAGAAAAGTTCTGTACGGTTCAGTGTCAGCAACTAAGACAAGGGGGGGGGGGACCTACCGGTAGGCTTCTCTGTGAATATTTGTTCTAAACTGTCAAATTAAAATTTAAGGTTAGAACTGCTGGAGATAAGTAGATTCAAAATGTCAAGACCAGTTGACTCTTTTGTCATGACTATTACCTACTCAAAACTCAATGAACATGATAGGTGAGGCCAGAGTTAAAACCTTCGTCCATTTTTTTTCAATACCTGATATTTTTGTCAATACCTGATGGGTTTTCAGTGACTTGGCGTTCTCAGGATTTGGAGCTATCCTGAGTGTAACATTCTCCTTAGCCTTCATAACCTCAAACTGAAGTTCGTCGGGCGAGGTGACGGCAACATTGTTCACCTCCAATATCACATCTCCGGGGTGTAGTAGCCCTTGTCGTTCTATCACTCCCCCAGCCAACACTCTGGCTACGATCAGGTTACCATTCTCATCTACCTGCACTGTGAACCCCTGGAACAATACCATTAATGTACTGGAGGGGATGGGGTGTAAAACTGTTCTAGAACCTCGGCTTCAAGGCGCCACCCCGCTCATGAATGGCTGTTAATGTCATAAAAAAACAGTTCAAAAACCGTTTCAAGATATAACTCTCCCTATTACCTATTACCCTATTGGTTTATTTGAAACAAATCTGTATTTTTTAAACTGAAATAGATAGAAATATTCTGTTTGTGGCGTTGATTGTTAACAAAGGATCCATAATTTTTTACATCAAAAATATTTTTTAACCCCCCTAACAGGGTAGGGGGTGACTTATTTTTTTTCAAACAGCAACCACTATTGAGTGACCCCTCATTTTGAAGGGCTTGTCAAAAGAAACACAATAACATAAATCCGAGGTGAATATCTCACCCCTAGGCAAAATGGCAGGTATTCCAAAATGTTATTTACTGTATGGAAAAAAGCATCAATTTTACAAAAATATGGAAACAAATCTGTATTTATAAAACCGAAATAGATAGAAATACCGTATTCAGTTTGAGAAATTGATTGTTAACATAGGTTCCGCAATTTTTTACATTAACAATAATTTTTAACCCCTTTAACAGGGTAGGGGGTGGGGGTGACTTATTTTTTTTATTTTATTACTGTCTATTTCAGTTTTGAAAATACAGATTTGTTTCAAGACTTAATTTCCACACTGTATATGAATTTGAACGGATGGTGTTTTGGACTCTAGGGACCTCAAAATGAAAAGTAAATTGGTCCCGGATCAAGGTCTTTCCATCAGTACTACGGTCATAGCTTATTCCCTTTATGGGAAATTCGCTAAAACTGTAATGTTGGTAAAATTTGAAGCAAATATGATCAACAAAATTCTAAAGTTATATTTCAAAATTATTGGAAACATTTTCTATCTCAATTGGAAAAAAATGAACAAACAAATTTTGCTTTTTACTAATCCTGAAGAAAAACTTCTGCAATCTTCAACGTTGGCTACCTCAAATGACTTACACTCACCACAGAAATGTACTTTGAACAAAGGATTCTAACATTAGTTAGCCTACTATAAACTGAAAACTCACCAATGGCTCTTTTGGTACTTTTCTCAACCCAACTATCCTAATCGGTTGAGTATTCATTTCTGACTTCCCGTTTGTACTCAGTTCAGAGATTTTTGGCTTAGTTTCTAGTTGACGTTTACTAATTTTCTTTTCTGCTATCCTATCGTGAGTCTCTAATAAGGCCTGAAACATAAATGTGGGACTTTAAAAACATGAAATATTATTGAAACCATTATGCCAAGGCAATGAAATTTAATGAAATTTCTTGAGATTTTTTTCAAAAATCTAACAACAGTTAAAAATGGATTAAAAGAACTTTTAAAACTAAAATGGACTAGGATGAACAAAAATCTTCATTTTATTTCTAGCGATCAGTAGGTATAATTTACAGAGATTAAAATACATAGGCCTACTTAATACAACACAGCAAAAAGCAAAAACATATAAAGCTCCAAGCTATGAAAAAGAGCAATAAATATTGACTTTTTCTATTTAACCCTAAGCCATGCCAAAAACATAAAGATGAAGGCCTACTTGTTTTAAGCTGAAATGAAGTTGAGAAGAAGCAAAAAATAAAAATTACTTTAACTCTGGGATAGAAACTTTTTCTTTTGAAAATCTTTTTGTTTTGCATTTAAAACAAGAATCTCAGTAAAAATGTAGAAGCCTGAAAACATAACCCACTCTAGGATTTTTAAATTAGGCTACAAAGGACAGAAGCTAAAAAACTTTATTTTGTCCCGAGAGAGTTGTTACTTACTATTTTCCAGGGTTTGTTTTTAGCTTTAATCAAATTTACAAATAGCTTATTTACCAAACATTTTCAACTACTGTGCCAAAATCATACGGTGAAACTTGTCAACATCACAACATTGCTTGCCTACAAAATCACAAACATCAAACCCACCTTAAAATGAGGTTTATGAAATATCCTATTCAATTCTTTAGCTTCATGACTTGGTGAAGTTTGGCACGACTGTTGTAATTCACTAACTAAACTTACACTCTCAGCTACTACAGGGTCAGGCGCAAGTTTTTGAGGCACTTCTAATTGGTCTTGAACCTGGAAAAAAATTTCTAGAGTTAATATAGAGCTTGAAATTTTAAACAAACACCATGCTGACTTCAAATTGGGGTCCTTTCTGTTATATATTATTAAGTTCTCACTAGGCTATATAATTTGTGTGTAAAAATAGTCAATAAAAGTTTTAGGTTATGCAATTGTTTTAACTAAACCTAACCTAACCTAAGTAGACGACAATTAAAACATTTAAACTAAAAAACATATTGGTAGTCTTGTATTATAGAAGAGGTTCTTTAAATGTGGTAATCACTATTAAGGCCTACTTAGCTACACACGGTGCCGGTATGGTAGCTTACTCGTCGATGAGTACCTGGCCGGAATGAGGGGTCACACAACAATGTCCTGTGCTTATTCGCTGATTATCATTTAACAAGGAAGGACCTGAAGAAATGTTGTTGCTTGAAAGTGGCATAGTTAAGTTACTCAAATATGTGTATCAGGATGGGCCTGAATCCAGGTTGAAGGGGGGCGTTTTGAGATCTAGGAAAGTTTCAACTACCCTCAACTGTCTAACGGTCCAAATTCAAATCCAAAAACCCACAGTGCAAGAAATGAAACGGAGGAAGAAAGACCTTCCGTGACCCCACTGTGTGTCTGTCATCGATTTGTCTTGATTGACCGACCCAACCTCGTGTGTGTAAATGTGCTTTTATATACAGTAGGTAGCCTAAATATGTACTAGTGTTATTGATAAGAAGATAGCAGAAGACCCAGGGCTTAAGCTATGGTAGCATTTTGATATACACAACTTAAAAATGCTACATTGTTTTTGCTGGCTATAGCAAATTTGCTACAAATAAAATTGAAGATGCAATGTTTAAACATGTAATATTAATGGATTTTTTTATTGCTTAAAGAATAATATTTTTGCTACAGTTGTCTGAGAGTTTGTAGCATTTTTGCTAAAACACATTTCATCCCAGCCTACCCTGAGAAGACCCCAGAGTATGCCGCAGAAGCTGGCTAAATGTATAGGGTGACATCTTACTTATGTACTCAAGAACTCAAGGCTAATAGCAACCGTAAACAAAGTTAATCTAATCTTATAAATATTATAATTTCTTAAGTATTTTTTTTTGTGTTGGCAGACCATAATTTCCTTTTACATAAATGAGGTGTTATTTTAAAGCTTTTTTACCCAATAAACTTACCCTAAGAAAGTATACCAATCACTCATTTTTCAGTAGTTTTTCGTAAAAACAATCTATTATATTATTCTGCAAGTAATTTAAACTTAAAATGTTCATTTACGTTATTCGATCAGCTGAAAATGCTGATTGTGTTGGAATAAAAACAAACAAATAATTATTTCGCAAATCCAAGGGTTTTGTTTTTACTTCATCCACGACAACCAACATACTTAGTCTGTGCTCTCTACGATAAATGGGTCACAACCCCGGTGATTAAATCAAATTATTCACTTTAAAGAAGTCAAAAGAAGAACAACTGAAAAGTAAGTACCGCATGGATTCTCTTAGGATTATATTTGTTTATTTACGATAAAGCCTTAATTTTGATACCTACCAACCATTCTATGGATAGGCTATTTAAGAATTCCATCTTCAAACATCACCTCTGATCTCTTACCTTTTCTTTACTTCAGGTTTCAATGAATAGTTATTTTGTGCCAAATTCCTTACTGACAGAAAACGGTTTATATCAGTTTTGATTTAGATCTTTACCAAGGGACGTAGAACGCTCCCTTGTATCTTTTAGATTTTTTTAGGTTTGTTAGCTCATAAACCCATGTTAAAAAGAACTCTATTATCATGTTGATGAGAAATCTAGGCATGGTCCAAGATTGGCTGTAGCTCTCTTGGGCACCTACACTATCAAAGCGAAATTGGCTAACCCAGGTCAAACTGTCATGGTACTCAATAGTCCATAATCCTTTCAAACTGACTAAGTAGGAATTTCCCTTAAAAGATCTTTGCCATGACTAATAAGGCATATGGACAGACGCTAATGAGGAAAGGGTTGCAAGTGCCAGACTCTGTTTTTTTACATATTCATGTGGCTTTGTCAAGGGTGTGCTTTTTCAGTGAAAACTATGTCTGTGTAAAAACAAAGCCATCAAAAACTAAAATTGTATATGGCCATATTATTACTTCAAAAATAGTGTTCAAATAATGGGTCCTATAAACATGTAAAAACATAAATAGCCTAGCTTAACATTATATTTTTAAAAGGTTACCGTAATTATCTAAAATATAAGGTCCCCTATTCCTGAAGTAAGAACCCATACTTTCACACGTTCAGTGCTAATAATTATGAGCACCTAGGCCTAACTTAAAAATTATGTCAGGGTACCGGTATCAAAAATTATGAATCTAGATGTCTCAGTGTCGATTTTGGCTGAAATTGGTGATGTCACTTCTGGGGCGGGAATTCCCTTGCTTAGGTACTGATGCCGGTAGCCTGTGACATACTTGTTCAACCCCTAAATATCTTTTGGCCCCACTCGCTCACAGTCACATAGGAAATAGTTTTAGCGAATTTCCCATACTATAGGGAATAAGCTATTAACGTAGGCGCAGAAAACATACTAACCCAGAATGCCAACCGCATGGTAAAAAGCATTAAGTGTTTTGAGAGAGCTTTGCCTGTCAATTCGTAGGCAGCGCCACCAGCGTTGCCATGCACTCAGCATAGCAACGCTGGTTGCGCTGCCTACGAATTGACAGGCAAAGCTCTCTCAAAACACTTAATGCTTTTTATCATGCGGTTTGACATTCTGGGTTATAGTAGTATGTTTTCTGTGCCGTAGGTCTCATGGTAAGACCTGGACCCGGGACCGATTTACTTTTTTGTTTTGAGGTCCCCAGAGGCCAAAAACACTATCAGTTAAAATTCATATAGTATATATATATATATTTATATAGGCTATGTGTCCGTTAGCACGATAACTCAAACAAAAATGATCTGATTATGATGAAATTTGGTATAAACGTGTAAACCTACGGGGGGGTTTTATGGGGTAAAAATTGGTTTTTCCCCATTTTGGCCCTAAAACATGAAATTTTGGAATTTATCTCCCAACCATTTTGTAGAGCTTAAAAAAAGAAACAATTTAACTTAGTATAGGCCTATTGAAGCATTGTTGTATGCCTAATGGTTTACGGAGAAAAATCAAAAAAATGTAAATTTAAAATTCCTATTTTATTCTTGTGGATGTTGATAAAATTTGGCAAATTTATTTATTTCATCCTATACTATTGACGTTTGGTCAAAAAACCCTTTTTACATTCCCGTGGTGCAAACCTTTAAGTACTCCTAAAATCTAATGTTATTTAAATTGGGAAATATGCCTTATTTATGGAAATATTTTAGTAAAAATGTAATCAGACAAGTCGAAATTTGCTTTGTCTGCAGGTTTGCTGCGGCGGGGGTATTTTATATTCAATAGTTCTCATAACATCCAATATTTGTATAAAATATATATTTACATCTTCCCACCGCCATTATATGAGGTCTTTTAGTGTTTCAATCACATAATGTTTTCAAAAATTTGTCAATAGGCCTATGTAAAAAATATATTTTGTATGGAAATAATAAAAATTACATAAATAAATCATTAATGGAAATTGTACGAAGCACCCTACACAATATGTTGACTCAAAGACGATGCACCGATAAAGATCAGAACGGTAGATACGGAAACAAAGCGCACAAAAGGTTGAAAAGTAAGAAGTAAGTAAGTACCGGTAAGTAAAAAGCAACACTTGTACAAAACGCGGCAATCGAACACAACGTTCCCCGTGAGTGGCGAAGCTCACATTGAAGCAAGTTTGTTGGCATTGGAATAGGACGACATTTCCAATGACATTCAATCAATGATGCACTCACAACGCAGAATTAACTTTGTTGTGTACTGTACCGGTAGGCCTAAGTTTACCTCAAATAAGTTTAGAGAAGGATTTAGTGCCAGAATCCTTCGCATGGGTTTGCTAGTAGGCCTATAGCCTAATTCTAATTCAAGTTCTTGAAACTGGGATGGAAATTAAAATATGCTATGCTGCTTTAAAAGGACACTAAGTTAACTTAAATGAAAAACCCAAAACTTTTACAGTAGCCTAATTAGCCTTGTCCTAAGTAAAGTTATTTTGTCACTTGTGGCCAAATGTCAAAAGTAACTCATGAGTGAGTTAACTTAACCTTGATTGTAGGCCTAACATCAATTTACTAAGTTACCTAGGGTAGGCCTAACCTATCCAAACAAAGAGATTTTACATTGCCCCGCATAAGTTAAAGAATAAATCTGATTGTTCATCATTCAAAAGTAACAGCAAACTTTCAAACACAAAGAATAATTAGATACATTAACTCCTTTGCATTACCAATAAAGGTTAACCCTTGTAACAGGTTGTTGATGATTCTCAATCTCAAGGTTGGAAGGAAATTACTTTTAGCGAGAATTTCATCTTTCAGCCAACTAAAAGTATTATCCTATATAATTACCTTAACTTACAAGAAGTAAACATCACAGATAGTATTAATATTGCACGTTAACACGGATTGTTAAATACATAAATCAACAAAACGTTCTCACAAACACAGCAGCCAGCCTGACAGCCCAGCCCAGCCCACTTTTGACAACGAACGACGAACGACGACGCGTTCCGAGCTCAAGGAAGCAGCGAAGCGACATCGAACGAAGGTGGAGCAGGTAAAGCTGGCAGTGATGTCATCAATAATACTTTCCTTCGATCAAGCAAGCCATGGTAATATCAACCTGTGCTGTGAGTGTGTAATGATGTAAAGTTTAACGGATCTTTTGTCTTTGTCACAGAGAGCGTTTACAATAATTTTACACTACATTTTGATTTTCTGCGACAATTAGTTCAATCATTGAAAGAAACAAATCAACAAAATGCCGTTTATATAAGCATCCGAGTCATCGACTATGACTATATTCAATTACAAACTGCATTCACTCAAATAATTCATCAGCTTTGTAGCCTTATAAATATATGTTATTG